TAGTATTCCCTGATCTACCAGTCTAGTAACCCTATTAAAAAAAAAAAAGAATGAATGAAAGAAAGTTAGTTTGGTTCTGGCATAAACTGCCTCTTTTTAATTGGACCATAGATTTAGAACTGAATAGGACCTTAAAGGCCAACTTCCTCATTTTACAGGTGTGGAGATAGATCCAGGAAGGCTAAGTCACAAGGATAGAAGGTCACACAACTAGTATGTACAGAAGAAAGATTTGCACCTAAGTCTTCTGACTCCAGAGCCAGTGTTCTCTCCACTGTGCCACATATTACCTGTCTATTGATGAAGCCTTTCAGATCACTGCTTTCATTTCCAGATATTCATTAACTAGTCCTCCAGTAATACATTTTAGAATTTTTTTGCAGTTATTCAAGTCAAGTTCACTAGTCTGTAGTTTGCTCTTTAACCCTTTCTTCCTTTTTTCCTTTCTTCCTTTCTTTCGACATTTGTCCTTCTTCAGTCCTGTTCTTCATGAGTTTTCAAAGATGACTGATAGTTAAGTAGGTCAGCAACATTTGCCATTTCTTTTAGTACATAAGGATTCAGTACACTTGGGGCAAGGGACTTGCAGTGATCAAGAGGACCCTGCTCACTCTTACTCCACTTCTCTTGCATATTCACTCCCTTATTCTGGTCTTTCTTCTCCAAAAATCTTTCTTCCTGGCAAAGAAATAAAGGCCAAATGAGAACTAAGTAGCACTACTTTTTCTCTGTCATCATGTATCATGGTCCCATCTACCCAGTGGAGAAGTGGATAGAGCCCTAGATCTGGAGTTAGGAAGACCCGAGTTCAAATTTGGCCTCAGACACTTACTGTCAGGGTGACCCAGGGCAAGTCACTTAACCTCTGCCTCAGTTTCCTCATCTGTAAAATGAGGATAATAATAGCATCTATCTCCCAGGGTTGTTGTGAGGATCAAATGAGATAATAATTGTTAAGCACTTAGCTAATGGCATATCATATGTGCCATATAAATGTTAGCTATCATTACCCTAAGTAGCATTTCTCTTACTTTTTTTAGCTTCCTCTTTTCTCCATTATAGCTTTAGGACCTCACATTTGTTTTCCTTGGCTTCTCTCTCTAGCCTTTTTATTTTGAATTGTAGAATTCCTAAGACTACTCTTAAAGAATCATGCCAAATGTTTGTGTTTCATCCTCTGTGCGCTTGCTTTCTTTTTCCATATATCTCTTTTAAAAAAACTGAGTTCCATGTGCATTCACATTCTTTAGACAACTTCCTCATTTTTCCCTCATTGAAATTTTCTTAGTATCTTAAGAATTTAATTTTTTTTTTGAATTTATACTATTGCTAGTTCCCCCCCAAAAAACCACTTCTTCCCAGATAAAAAATAAAAAGTTTATAAGTAATGAGCTTAGTTAACCAAAATAAATCTATGTATTTTCCACTACACCTTGAGTCTATTACTCCTGTCAGAAAGTGAGTAGCATGCTTCATCATTAATCCTTTAGAGCAGGGGAGTCAAACACACAGCCCCCATACTTAGTGTGCCTGAATCAGATCAAAATAAAATTGGAAAAATATTTAACAAAAAAACCATAAAAATGCACTAGAATATCGAAAATGTTACTGTGTGGTTTTCTAAGCTAACATGTAGCCCATAGGGATCCGTGTGTATGGTTTAGTGGCTGTTTCTATTTGGGTTTAACACCACTGCTCTAGATTCAATGTTGGTCACTACTTTTATAAAACTTCTTCTAAAGTTGTTTTTCTCTGAAATGTTTCTATTACTGTTTAAATTGTTCTTCTGGTATTGCTCACTTCACCCTGTATCCATTTATCTAAGTCTTCCCAAGTTTCTCTGAAGTCATCCCTTTCTTCATTTCTTGTAATATAAAAATATTCTATTAGATTAATTTATCACAATTTGTTCAACCATTCCCCAATTCATGGGCATATCCTGTTTTTTTTTTTAAAGATCTAGTAGTAGTATTGTTAGGTCATGATTTAATGACTTTGGGGCATAGTTCCAAATTATTTTTCACAATGGTTGGATTAGTTCACATTTCCACCAAATAATGTATCAATGAGTCTGTTTTCCCACAAGCCCCTCCAACAATTGTCACTTTCCCTTTTTGTCATCTTTTGCCAGTCTGATAGGTATGGTGGTGAAACTCAGAGTTGTTTGCATTAGAGAAATGTGCACTTCTCTAATTATTAGTGATTTGAAACATTTCTTTCTTGAAGAACTACCTGTTCACATCCTTTGATCTATTGGAGAATGGCTATCATTCTGGTATACTTGAGTAAGTTTCTTATATATCTTAGCTCCAGACCAGGACTTAATGCCTGAGAACTTCCTAACCTTCTTGGGCTAACTTCTCTGCAGAATTTCAGTCCATTGGATCCTGGATGTCCTTCCTTTGAACTCCCTGAAAACTCTTCTCTGACAATCCAGACTACATACCACATCGTTTCTAATTTTCCTCTCCTCTCTAACTAATTCCAAGGACTGTATCCCAGCTTTCTCCTTACTGGTGCAAGTCAGATATAGAATAGCATTTTTGCATGTTGGCTTCCCCATCTTTTGAGGCATGAAACTATATTAAGGCAAATCAAGAAATGATTAGCTGTTCTTCTTTTTTGGCCAAGAGAGAATTCCAGGACTTATCTGCATAATTGAAGTCTACCACCACTGCTATCCTAGATCTCTGTTCCAGGCTTGCAATATGCTTTCCAAAATTTTCAGCTATTTCCTCCTTCTCTCTGTATTATACTCTAGTAACAAAATCATTTGTGTTTCTGTCTCCAGTGATCTTTATCCAAAATCTGTCCGTCATGCTTCCACTCTCTGGATTTTAGATGTCCTACTTCTTTACATACAGTGCTACCTCTCTGTGCCTTTCATCTGTTCTGTATTCTATAACCTTTCTAGAGCCAAATTCTGGTAATGAGTCTCATCCTACCAAGTCCCAATGATACCTCTTAAGTAAAATTTGCCTTCTTCCATTAGGACTTCTAATTTATCTTGCTTATTAACCACTGTGCATGTGTGTATAGACAGCCAACACTGGATTTTATTGGCTCCTTTCTTGGATTTAATACCCTGTGAAATTTGAGTGTCACATGTCACAACTGCTATTCTTTTTCTTACATTGTAGCTATTCTCATCATATCTAGCTTGGTGGATGTACATACAATTTTTTCCCCTCTCCTTTTTCAGTTTAAAGGTTTATTTGTTTTTAAGGTTGGAGGTTTTGTAGGTAGTGAAAAAACCCAATTGGATAAGGAGATTGAAAATTAGGGAAAGATGATCTTCACAGGGGTTACTATGGGATAATGGAATATTACATATTATTGTCTTAGTTGACGTATTCATGTTTTGCTGCACTGCTTTTTTTTTTATTGTTACAGGGAATGTCTCCCTGGGTAGGGTAGAAGGGAGGCATAGATTCAGAAATGGTGACATGAAAACAAAGTATATCAATAAAATACCAAAAAAAAAAAAAGGTAATTGAACAGGAAAGCTCTTGGAGGAGGCAGGAGGGGATGAGGTCAAGACACTTAGGTCTTGGGATTGGTGTTGGCAAGGAGAGGGCCACTTTATGCATCATTAAATGACTAGAGAGAATGGGAGCTTAGGTTGAAGTGACTGAGAATATAGAGTTGCGGAGAGGGAGCTCAGTTGGATGGTCTCAGTTTTTTCATTGACATATGAATCCTCTGCTGAGAGGGAACCAGGAAGTAGGTGAACACAAGTTTTGAGAAGACAGTAGTAGTAGGCCTGTCTCATTATCAGACTGACAAATAACTTTAATACCATTCTGCAGATAATCATAGCTCTTAGTCTCTTTTTCCATGACCTTTACTGGACAGTCTCCTGGTAGCACCACTGGACCCACATTTATTCCTTACAAGACAAGCAGCTACTTCTCTCTTAGAATATCTAGTCACCTCCTATTCATGGACAGGATCACTGCATGCAGTTGTTTGAAGGATTGTCATGAGGAGGAGGGGTTAGATTTGTTTTACATATTAAATTGTAAACTTTGTAGGCATAAAGGTAAGACCTGTGAGGGAGAGATTATCTTTCGGAGCCCAGTGCTCTGTATAAAGGGACTACACCTGTGAATTAATTGCTATGGGGAATTCTTTGGTGAGGATACTCCCTCCACCCAGGCAGGTAAGCAGCATCTCTGTCATTTAAGTCTTCTGAGTTGCGTAGCTCACCGAGAAGGGCCGGGGTCACCCAGGAAGGACTTGATCATAACTTCTTGGCTTTGTGGCCAGCTCATCGTCTATTGCCTCTCACTCAGCATAAAGTGGATGCCAAATCGAGGTTTGTTATGGTAGCATTTCATGCTTGACCTCAATGGTACAACCAGGAACTCTAGGTATAAGACTTTGTTAAGACTATGAAATTGCAAAGTCTAAATTCCCTGTAATTGTAAACTTTCAAGCAGAGTCTGGATGATCTCCTATTGGGATCCTTTTTTCAGGTAGGTGTTGGCACCATCTGCTCTCAGGGAGATTTTGGTATTATGGATCATTAGTACTCAAATATATTCCAACACTTATGGCATTAGAGCTGCTCTGGGCGCCCCATCTTAAGAGAAGCACCAGGGCCTGCACCCGCAGACTTCCTGCAGCCCCTAGGCTAAAAGACCGACCCGCCGCCGACCCCACTCCAGAGAGGCAGGATAGGGAGAGCAGAGGGAAGAGGAGGCCACCCGCCCTTCTGGCATTCGCGGCCTAAGCCACGGGCGTGCGTCTAAGGTGAGGGACAAAGCCCAGCCCTGGGCCGAGACCGCGCTGCGCAGGTTCGACCAATGAGAGGCCGGGGAGTGGGTGACTGGCAGAGGCTTAGAGCCAGTGAACGGGCGTCTTGTTGCGAGGTGGCCCGGGGCTCCGGTATTATAAAGGGCGCCACGAGTTGGCATTGTCAGGCGGCCGAACAGCACAGGGGCCGGGTGGAGGAGGGTGGGAGGAGCGGGAGCTCTGCGCTGCCGCCTGCCGGGAATCGGAGCGAGGGGCCGGCGTCTGCGCCGCGGCGGAGGCCGAGGCCGCTTTCCCCAGGCCGGCCCGAGGCCCGTAACGTCACTGGGCGGCGAGGTGAGTTGCGGGCGGGGATCCAGCCGGGCTGCGCTTGAGGGGGAGGGGGTGCGGGGCGCCATCTCCGCCGCGCCCGGGCCCGCGTCCCTCGTCGCCGGGCCTGAGTTCATTGTCTTGCTTGCTCTTTGCAGGCCTTTCCCCGCCGCCGCTGCCGGGGCCATCATGTCTGAAGCGGCGGAGGAGCAGCAGCTGATGGAAACGGCCGCTACTGAGAACGGCCATGAAGCCGCCCCCGATGGGGAGCCTCCGAGTGAGGCCGCGAGCGGCACCGGGACCGGGACCGGAACTGGGATTGGGACCGGGACCGGGACCGGGACTGGGACCGCGACCGGGAGCGGGAGTGGGTCCGGGGCGGCGGCCCCGGTGGCGGCGCCTCCTGCGGCCCCAGCTGGGAGCCAGAACGGGGCCGAAGGAGACCAGATCAACGCCAGCAAGAACGAGGAGGATGCAGGGTAAGGACGGACGCGGCGGCTCCTCTTTCTCCCCTTCTCTCCTTCTCGGCTCGGCTCACCCCTCCCCCATCTCGCCCGCGCCCCTCCCCCACCTGCTCTGGGGGGGCCCTCGCGGCCCCGGGCCCGGCTGGGGGGAGGTGTGGGCGCGCGGGCGGGGCGGACAATGCGCGGGCCGGGCCGGCCCCTCGGCGGCGGCGGCGGCGGCTCCTCCTTTGTTCTGGGGCTGCCTTTTGTTGGCGCCATGTGGTTGGGGGGAGGGGCGGGAGATCTAATTTGTGCCAAAGGAAAAGGCCCCTCTGTCTTCCTGCCCGGCCTTGCTGCCCGCCCGCCTCTGACGTTCCTCGGGGCCTGGAGGCCGAAGCCCCCCCATTGTGGTGGGGCTGCTGCGGTGGCTATCGCTGGAGCCTTTCGAGCTGGTCGTTGGCACTTAGGGGCTTGGCGGGAGCCTGCAGTCACTGCCTTCAGTTAGAAAAACTTTAACTTTGCTTGTCTCCTAAATTTGCTTGGCGGAGACTGCTTTGGTTACTGGGAGGCTTCATTAACGCGTCAGATGAATATTGGAGATGCCCCGTCTCTTTGTGAGAATTTCCTCTTTTGGCTGGCAGAGAATGGGAAGGAAGACTTAGTTGTTTCATTTATCTGGCCTGCTCAGCATGGCTGCTTGACTAGACTTTTCCCAAGATTTACAAGAAAGAATCAGGGCTGAGTATAGTATGGAACATGCGTTTCAGAATGATTGAATAGAAAAGTATTAAGTGCTTACTGTGTGCCGGGCACTGTGCTAAAAATCGTGCTTTGAAACCAAGTGGTCTTGGGTTTTTTAGAGTTTGAAATACCTCTTTGTTAAATCTGATTCTGTGCCTTTTTAGCACTCCGAATTTGGATGGATGATAACCCATGGCTTTCTAGTGCATTTGTTAAATCGAATAAAACAGAAGAGAGTGTCTTAGCTCCTTCTGATTGACCTTGGGTATATTTTACACAATTTCAGTGTCTAGTGCTGCTTTTCACTGGGAAAATCTGCTGGAGCAAGCACTTTTGAGTTTTCAGTGGTCTCAAAGGGGAAAGGTCTTTGCCCCCCCCCTTTTAAAATACATATCTGTGGAGGATATCTGGAACAGGGATCTAATACCAAGTTATCAGAAAAGTGATGGCTTTGGTAATTGTTGGTTTTATACACTCTTTCCTTTTCTAGTTGTGATTACAAGCAGTCAGCTCCAAGTTCTTCCTGTTATTAATTTAGAGGCAGCTTACAAAACCTTTTCCCTTCCTACTCTGAAGTTCTTTCCTTCTCTACTTTTTGGTGCTCTCCATTCAGACTCCTGGAGAGAATGGAAAAGATAGTTTATTTTATTTTTTTATTTTTGCTGCTCTTTTGTAGTTCTGAAGGTTTGATGGAGTTGGAGGTTGAATAGTAAATTTCAAGAATAGAGCTTGGTTTCTTTTACGTGGGGATGGGTAGTTATTTTCTTTTGATCAGTGAAAGTTTTTGTAGTCTACTACATAAGCCATTTCTTGTTTGGAGTGTCATTCAGTGTCCTAGACTTCTCTCCAGACTGAACTTGGAGCTTATCTCATTTTCATTTGTTGAGATCAAATGGGCAGTTCTAATACTTCCTCCTCCCTTCATGCAATTTCAGGAAAATGTTTGTAGGTGGCCTCAGTTGGGACACAAGCAAAAAGGACTTGAAAGATTATTTCACCAAGTTTGGTGAGGTGGTTGATTGCACGATAAAGATGGATCCTAATACAGGAAGATCAAGAGGTTTTGGGTTTATCCTCTTTAAAGAATCTGCAAGTGTTGATAAGGTAAGAAATATATAACATACAGAAATACATGTAACTAACTGTAAACAACTAATTTAATCAAATATCAAACACCTACTTGTTAGTCATTGTTAACTGCTACTTTGGGGGTTACAAAGAAGCATCAGACACAGTCCCCTGCTCTTTCGATCACTGACCAACTGGGGACAACATTTACATATATAAAAAGAGGTCTGTGTGTGACAGATTAAAAACCCAAAAGACACTAAACTCTGTAAGAGTTTAAGGGGGGAAGGGGAAGCTCGAGCACAGAGTACAGGTCCTGAATAAGCATTGTTGAACAGTTGAATATTGGAAGAGATATATTCAAAAGTAACTCTTAAGGGACAGGTCTTGTTGATTCTTAGGCACTTTTGTCCTAATTTCTATTACAGTTATTTGGGTACTTGTTTCATCCTTCCTGTTATATTCAAGAGTACAATTTATACCCTTAGTAGGTACTCCTAAATTTGTAGTTGAACAAATAAAAGACTGAGAAGAGAAACTTAGTTGGTAAGAGATCTGAGGGTGGTGAAGGTGGCTAAAATGAAGAGCCTTTACTGATGAAAATGCTGCTGAATAAGGCTAGAAAGGAAGGTAGGGTGGGGGTCAGGTTATAAGAGACCTAGAATATAGGGGATTAACACTTTTCCATTGCTTAGAGAATAAATAGCCCAGTTATGGAAGCAAAAATGATAGCTAGAAGAGGATTTAAAGACCATCTACTCTTGAGTTTGTTCCCCCTTCTACCATATTCCATGTGAGAGGAATTGGCTGGAGTTGGGGCAGGGGGGAGGCTGGGAACAGACACTTGCTTGAGATACCACAGGTAATTACAGAGCCTAGAACCAGAAATGATTGCCAAGCCATTTCTTTCTCTCTCTCTCTCTCTCTCTCTCTCTCTCTCTCAATTTCAATTGAACTCAATATATTTTGGGTACCTACTATATGCAAACCACTGTGTTAGGGTGGGGGGTTGGAGAGCAGAATACAAAGATAAAAAATGGTCCCTTTTCTGAATTTGCTTACCTGCTACTTGGAAATAGAGCATGTTAGATACATGTTCTTTGTTTTAAGTCTTCCTTTCTGGGCATTAGTTCTCATTGTTAGGGAAAACACTTTCTGGCCACCTGATGATTCAGTTCTATTAAATAAGAATCTATTAAGCACTGTATGCCAGGCAGTGGCACCATGGGAGTGGTCTTCAGAGAGCTAGAGAAGTAGGAAGGCTGAGAAGAGAATCTGATCTAATGGAGTGAGCAGTTTCAGTGAAGTTTTTGAGGACAAGTTAAATGACAGGATGGGGGGTGCTTCAGGGAGTAGTGAAAAGTTACTACTCTGTCTAGAGAATGAATGGGAAAGTGGAAGCAAGAACTCAGACGATGTTCTTAGTTGGGGAGGGGCTTAGAGATAATTAAAATTCAAGAGTTTTCATAAAGGATCAAGGGCACAGGCACAGATGAAGGAGTTAGTTTGGGCTAGGAGGGCTGGCCACCTCATTCTTTGAGATACGTTTTTAGATATGAAGAGAAAAAGAGATGAAGGTGGATTAATGCAACTCTTAATCTTAGTAAAACAGGAATCAAGGTTTATTGTTTAAGTTGGGAGCTTGGGGTGGGTGAAAGAAGGTATCTCCTGGATTTCCTCATACTTCTCTAGGCTACTCACCATCTTATACTTGATTATGTGAGGTGGAAGATTCTTTGTGGGGCTAGACCAGGAACTTCTGAGGGAAATAGATATGGACCTTCCAGGAATTTAAATTTTCTTCTATTTTCAGGTTTTGGATCAGAAAGAACACAGATTAGATGGACGGGTAATTGATCCAAAAAAAGCTATGGCCATGAAGAAAGATCCTGTGAAGAAGATCTTTGTTGGAGGACTTAATCCAGAAGCTACAGAAGATAAAATCCGGGAATATTTTGGAGACTTTGGAGAGGTGTGTATCCAACAGACTAACTCTACACTCAAATATCCAGGTAGAGAGGAAGGGGCTGTTATTAGTCTCAGCCAGAAGTCTAGTCCAACTAACTGATTATCTGCTGTATAACATTTCAGAAATGGTCTCATACAGTAGCTTCTGCTTGAACTTTAGTGATGTATAAGGCAGTCCATATACTTTTGGAGAACTTTTTTAATTGTTTGGAAGTGTCAAGGTATAATAGAAAGATCTCCAGACTTAGAGCTATGAGATCTGAGTTCGAATGTTGGCTCTGATACTTGTTATATGACTAAATGATTGACTTGGCCTTTCTAGGACCACATTTTTCCTCATCTACAAAATGGGGCTGTTCAATGCTGTTGGAGTTAAAAGTTCTTTGCCAACTATAAAACACTATAAAATTGTGTGCTGAAATCTGCCTCTGCAATTTCAGCCAATCATTTTGTTTTGGTCTCAATATAATAACCAAGAACAAACAAATATGAATCCTCTTTGATATGACAGCCTTTCAGTCCCTTTTGAAGACAACTTTGTTCTCTTCCCACCCCTGTCCCCTTCTCCAGTCTTCATATTAAAGATTCTCAGCTCTTTCAGCTTATGTGGCATGATGAATCCCTTCAGCATCCTGGTCATTCTTCCTTGGATGTGATATACACTCTAGCTTACTGAAAATGTCATTCCTAAAATGTATCCTGAGCAGAATATAATAATCCAGGTGTGGGCTGGGCCAGAGAAGAGGACAGTAAATAGGTCTAATACTCTAAATGCTGTTTTTATTAACAAAACGTCCTCTCTTTCACATGCACTATTGTCTAGCCACATCTTTTCCATTGTTTACTTAAAAATCATTTGCATTTTATCCATATTCAGTTAAATCCTAATTCTATTATCACAGTATATTAATTCCATCTGTGGATCATAGCTACATTTGATGAACTTTCTGTCTCTGCTTTCATCCAAGTAATTTATAAACATGTTGAACAAAACGAAGCCAAATAAACACATTTAAAACACCTTGTTTTTCTTTAAAACCAAAGTTGTTGTAGAAATCTTTGTTAGATTTTATATTATGGGTATTTTATACATAAAACCTCAAATTTAAGTAACTTGCTAAAGGCTGGAATCAGACTTTACATCTGAGGAATTCATTTTGAGTTCTGATGTGCCATGTTTCCAGATTGAATCTATCGAACTTCCAATGGATCCAAAGACAAACAAAAGAAGAGGATTTGTATTCATCACTTTTAAAGAAGAAGACCCTGTTAAGAAGATTTTAGAAAAGAAATTTCATAATGTCGGTGGAAGTAAAGTAAGAAATCTGGATTTATAACTAGAGAATTATTTCTTTTCTCCTAGGGAACTGCTGCTATTCTAGACTCGCCTCGATCTAGTCGTTAATGTTTGCCTTAGTACTTAAAAGGCTCTGGTGTTCTGTCACTTCCAATCACTGACTACTGGATAGATTTCCCACTTGCCAATTAAGGCTTTCAAACCCTTTAAGTAACAGCAGTAGATGAGGATGTGAGCTCATCCTTCTAGTATTTACTGAGCACCTCCTATGTGCCTAGGTTTGTGTTAGGTGAATGTCTAAGATGAGAATTTAGTCCCCAAAGCACTTTTCTTAAGACTCTTCAAGCAGCTTAAAGTCTTTTTGGGTAGATAAGATATGCATAGTTTTGTTTCATGTGTTAAGACTAAATGGTTATCAAACCTCCCATTCTTCCACACCCTTGGCCCCCCCCCCCCCCCCAAGAAAAATAAGAGAGGGAAAAGCACAAAGCACAGCATGGGCTAGGGGAAGGTTTATTTGCGGAGGTGAGTTCAAATTGATATTCCTTAGAAAAGAGGGCATTCCATATTTTTGGATCATCTGAGCAAGAGCCTAGAGGAAAGAATTAATAAACTTGACACCATCCAAGGCTGGAGTGAATGATTAGTGTTGAAGCACCGGGAGGCAAGGCTGGCTGAGTAGGTTGGGCCCAGGAATCATTGAATGGGTATTTTTAATGTTAGATTGCCTGAGGTGTGCAGTAGAGAGAATGGTAGAAGCGGTCATGAAGATTTAGGTGAGGGTCTCGACTAGGGGTGCTAGCCAGCAATCGGTGACGTTTCCTACTATTAAATGATTATCAGTTCATGAGTCAGTCTGACCAGTGTAGAATTTTAGAGCAAGAAGAAACTTTGGAAATCCCCCAAACAGTATGTTGAGATCCTTCATTCTACCCCATTTCCTAAGGCTTTTGTTAAGAGTCTCAAGAAGAGAAGCAGAGCCTCTCAGTGCTATTAAACTGTGACTTGGCTGCATCAAGGTCCTGTTGAGTTTGAAGGAAAATGGCTCCCCTAATAGTTTTTTTGGGCAGAGGGAGATTTTTGGTGCTAATCTGAGCCCCTCATTTTGCAGTTGAGAAACTTGAGCTTCAGAGTGGTTGAGGTTTACTCATTCAGGTCCCAGAGTGAGTTAGGGGCAGAGTTGAGCTGAATAATAAATGTTCTTTAACCTGGATTAGGTGAATCTTTAAGGTCTGTAGGTCTATGTCCAGTAGAAACTTGATGCAGGTACCTGCCTCTTGATTAATGGCCCACATCTTATTTTGGAAGACGTGTTGGATTTCAAGACCTCGATTCCTATTAAAATGTCATGGCTTGGGAACCATCAGAGTTGATGGCTTCTGATTTTGCCACACCTTTTCCCCTATCAAAGGGAGGAAGAGGTATCTTACCATTAGTCCTCTGAAGCTATTTAATCTGAATTCTTGAGTATGTTCTTTTCATTTACGTTATTGTGGTCATTATATGTATTCTCTCAGTTCACACTATTCTGTGTTTCTCATTGAAATTCTCACTCATTTCCTAAGGTGCAGTAATTCTATTGCATTCACATACTAGTTTATTCAGTCATCCCTTAATCAGAGGGCAACCACTTTGTTTCCAGCTTTTTGTTACCGCAAAAAAATGTTGCTATGAACGCTTTGGTAGGTTGGTATGTATATGGCCCAGTGTGATTTTTGCCATATGTCAAGGGTGATGTCAACCCTGAGCTCTACAGAAGGCGCTTAGCAGCCTTGTAGTATTAAAACCAGGTATATTAACATGAGTCCAGCTGGGCTTTGTAGATAAGGAATCCCCTTGGGCTCCTTAGCACCCTGGCTCAATCTGTGCAAATCTTTGGAATACCCCTTACCACTAATGTCAGAAACCCTCCAGGGAAGCCTTCCTTAATGACTGCAGCCAGTGGCAACGAGCTGGTCCTTCTCTTGGAGACTTAAATCATTTTTGGTACAGATAAGGAACACACACTCAACACAACTGCTTTCCCCAAGGAAAACAACAGCCTTGTTTTTGATATCCTTGTTTTCTAGGCAGGTGACTTGGCGGTGGAGGTGGGGGGGGGTCGGTCAGCAAATGTCCTGTTAAGCTGAGGTAGTTTGACCTTGCACATATGCCCTGGCCCTCATTTGTGGAGAATCAGAAAGGCCCTCTGATTGCTCTGGCGGCAGATCAATTGCATTGATCCAAAGGCTTCTGGCCATATCTATGGAACTTTAATCAATAGACTATTTGAGTTCTTTAGACAAGACCTTCACTATCAGGGATAACTCATTTGATAGGGTTGCATTTGGTTGTTGCCTACTAGAGCAAAAGTGCAAATGCTCACTATTTTAGAGCTTGATGGGTGTTTTCCTTTTTCCTTTCAGTGTGAGATCAAAGTGGCCCAGCCTAAAGAAGTGTACCAGCAGCAGCAGTACAGCTCTGGAGGCAGCCGAGGAGGCCGGAGCCGAGGGAGTAGAGGATCTGGAGGTGGCGGTGGAGGCAGTGGAAGTGGTGGCAGTGGAGGCAGTGGAGGGGGAGGTGAGTGAGACATGGATACCACTCAGACTTCCTAACAAGGCAGCTTTCTCTGCAGTTTGCATTAGAGCTGTAGCTGAGGCCATGGCAGAATCCTGGAGTAAGATGATGGCCCTCCCTGCCTCTGGTCTTCAGTTTTTGGCATGAGGCTTTTTTAGTTCATGGTGATGCCTCAAGTTCTGGATTTTTGCCCTGTTTCGTGCAAGATCAAGAAACATGAGGCTCTTGATGTGGTGGTGGGAGGGAATGATGGCATGTCATACTGGAGCCATAGCGAGATTCAGTCATTGAAAGTGTGGGGTAAGGGGGAAGAGAGGAGAATAGGGGAAGAACTGGCTCAAAAAAGTTAGAAAAGGGACCATTATGCTGCAACTCCCCTTCACTTAAGGTAATTTGCTACTGATGTGAAGCTTCTACCATGGACAAGGCACTGCAGGGATTAACTGGAAAAGGAATGTTAAAGATTATTCATTCTTGCCCCTATGACAACAGATGAGACAGGTCCAGAGAAGAGAAGAAAGTGATTTGCCCAAGGTCATGCAGGCATAGCTAGGATAGAGGATCTGTTTACAATTCCGTGCCTCATGGCTTTTCCTACTTTTATTTGTGTTCAGGCTCTCCTCCCTTTCCTAAAATGCTTTCTCCACTTACATAACTCCTGTCCATCTTTCACAGAGAGGTGGGACTTTTTTGCCTTGAAGTATTTCTTGTCCAACACCCACCATGCTTAAGTTATAAGCTATAGTTCTTGTTTGCTTTACAGCTCTACTGGGGACAGTTGGTCAGCATCTTTTATTTGAAGGTCATTATTAAATGGACACTCAGCCTTTTGTTTCTCTCAAATTGGTTTCCTATGGTACAATTTTATAAAACTTGGGCCTACACTAAATTGTAGATGCAATAGCCAGTGTCAGCTGCTTTCCTTGATTTTGGCTTTGACATCCTTAATGCTGCTTTATCATTCTATAGCTTCCTGACTTTGGGTTAGGTTTGTCTTTTCCTGACTAACTTCAAAAGTATACTAGGTATGGTGCAGGTGAAAACTAGCTCATTTCAGAAATGTAAGGAATAAAGGAAGTTGTCAATTACCTAGCCCCTTCTCAGAACCAAGGAAATGCTTATAGCATAGTATGGGAATGGGAATTCAGGGAATTAAAAGTTGAAGAGCCAAAGGAGAGTGGATTTAAAATCAAGATAGGGATTTTTTTTGACCATGGGCAAGTTCCTTTCCCTCTTTTGGAAACTGCTTCCTCTTTAATGAGGGAGCTCTACTAGATCATCTCTAAGTTTCTGGTAGACTGAGTCCCAGTTTGTAGGTCTATTCCCAACCCCGTAACACCATTTCAAGTCCCCTAATTCCTCATCATGGTGTTAGAGGTGAATCTGGGTTCTTTGAGGTGATGCCAGAAAAGTTTGAACTGGCAACTTTGACTAAGCTATAAAAGGCTTCAGTTTTGGAGCCAACAATGTGTACTGTGTGTTTGTCTGAGGACCAGTACTGCTAAGAATGGGAGAGATTCATCGCCCAGGTTGGCCTTTGGGATGAGTGAAATTTTTGGTCACAGCAACTCTTGAAGACCAATTACAGAAGATTGTGGTCTATGTTGATGGAGAGATTGGGCTGACAGGTCAGATTCTTGAGGTAGACATTCTAGCTTTCTTCTTCATCCCTTTTAGGCTTTGAGCAGGCTAAAGCTGGACATGGCATTCTAGTCTGACCCTCCTTGTTACAAGGTGGCTTAATAAATTAATGGCAGGCTTGGGACTCAAACTTAATGCCAACATTCTTTGGACCGTACCATGCTTCTTCATTCTTTAGTAGGATCTGATGTGTTAAGACTTCCTAAATTGATAATTAATTCTACTGTGTTGGGGACAGTGTCCATCCACTGTCTGCATTATTGATGTTTAGGGTTAATTACCCATTTGGACAGTCTTAGGCACACATACCTACGTATCTTCTGTACAGTGTTACTGATTCTTAAGCAGGATCAGTGTGATACTGGTACTCTTAATGCAAGTACAGTTTTGGGTTGAAAAAGCCTATATGGAGAGGTTACAGGAATCCCTCTCTTGGGCAGACTTGGTCAGAGGCATGGTGCTGCAGGCAGGTTGGTATGCCTTGGTCCCTTTTTAGCTTCCCTCTTTACATGGGCTAAACAGAACCCTGGGCCTTGCTTCCTCTGCAGCTCAAAGTCAAAATTGGAATCAAGGTTATGGCAACTATTGGAATCAGGGATATGGCAACCAGGGCTATGGCTATCAGCAAGGCTATGGCGGTTACGGCGGCTACGACTACTCCCCTTATGGCTATTACGGCTATGGACCAGGCTACGACTATAGTAAGTAAAGACCAGTGTGGGGTAGAGCAAGCAAGTGTCCTGTGCCGGGCTTCTTTAATCAATCTGTAATGTTTTCTTTGTAGGTCAGGGCAGTACAAATTATGGAAAGACTCCAAGGCGTGGTGGTGGTCATCAGAATAACTATAAGCCATATTGAGGCAGTCCTGTGCGGTATGCAGCGGCATGCTCAGTGTTCAGAGGGACTGCACACGTTTTATACGGAAATGCTCTAGGTGGACATTAAAATTATGTACCAAATTTAACTTTGCAAACTTTCTATGGCCTGTTCAATGTGCATCTTATTTAAAATTCCCCCTTGGAAAATGTCTTTCATGTTGAATATTTACAGATCTCTAGTTGTCTTAGACAGTGTGTGGTGTGTAAATGCCAGTCTTAAGCAAGATATTAATGAATGAATTTATTAATAGGTTAAACAGCAATGATTTTGAGGGTCTGCTTAAAGTCCAGCTCAGCCTCTTGGCTTGAGCATGGCCTCTGCAATGCTCTGGTTGTACAGATGAAAATGCCTCCTTTTTTTCACCTTTTTATTTTATATTGTTTGTGTCATACATTTCCGGCAATGGAAGTGTTAATTTTACTGTACTTTTTGGTACCTTTTGGGAATCTAATGTATTGTAAGGTATTTTACATGTGTCCTGATTACCATGACATGGATATTGAAGCTATCCTAGCTTTTGAAATAAAAAATTAACAAAAAACACACCCCAAACCAGCTAGTGTGCCATTTCTTAATCTTCCAGCTTTTAAAAGAATATAGACAGATCTGACCACACCCGTCTGCTCATCCTGGGGGCATTTGGGAGTCTATTTCAGGGACTTAGGATAGGCTCCCACTACAGCCAACTGTCCTTAAGGCAAGAGTCATTGTGGTATAAAAAATTTGAACAAATAAATGTTTGACATGTTTTAATTTTTTTAAAAAATTAAAAGAAAAATACAGGCATTTCATGGTGGTTTTAATTGTTGAAGCAATTTTGGACATTTTCAAAACGTTCCATTGAAGAAGACACTTAGGTCTTCAAGCTTAGTTAAGACCAGAGCAGAGTTAAGTCATTTGCCCTAAGGCAAATGGTAGAAACTATTGTTATATTTAGGAATTCATCTTCCCTGTATTTTCTTTTCTGACCTTAATGGGACATTTTCTAACCACTTTGACCCAGCGTCTGACTTTAGTAACAGTAATGGAGCAGAGTGTGGTGTGTTGGGGAGATTCAGAAGTATGGGTCTCACTAGCCCCCTCTGCCTTCCAGTGTATGGAAACAAACACTTTTGTTTGGTTTTTAACAGGTTCAATCCATGTTACAAGGTAAATTGTGAATGGGTTGAGTTTAAATTTCTTGTTATCTTGGCTGTCAGGGTTCCCCTCTTCACCTTTTAGAATATTCTTCTTGAACCTAAAAGTAAAAAGAGACAGGGTCAGGGCAAAAAGGTGTCTTTCCAATGATTGGCCAGTAATAAGACTTAACTTGTTCCCTTTATTTGGACTAGTGAACTTTTATCACTCACTTCACTTGGCAAACTCATCCTATAGCTTTATTCAGATAGCCCTTTTAATGAAAACAATAGATCAAGTGAAACCATCCCTTGAACAGCCAGATGCTTCCTGAAGTTGGAGAGACAATGATTTATCTATGTAGCTATAGGTAATGTAGTTCAAGGTGGAAATAAAGAAAGCTAGCCAGAAGAAAGGTTGCTATTGGCCTAGGGTCAAATGGAAGACTTTGCCAGTAGCACCTTGGGGAGGGTTCTAGAGAATCTCAATGTTGTCATCTTTAAAATTAGGGGGCTGGATTAGATGATCTCATCTAATCCACACTCCTCTTCCATTCCTAAATTCCACAGATTTTCCTATTTTCATGAAAACAAACTGTACTGCTTTAGGATTTGATCCAGTCTTGGTTGGGACAAAAGTCCTAGGTCTTTCCATCAGGGCACTGTTGGTCTCCACTTAGTCATAACACATTGACATAACACTGCCCAATTTTGGCCAGAGAGTCACTTTGATTTCTGTTCTTAGGCTTTAGATGAAGTTCATTGGAACCCTAACTACTTTCATGTATGTGGGATATTTGTGCATCTCCCCATTTCCCCTCCCCCCACACCCCTACTTGTCATAACCATCATATCCTCACAGGCAAAGACAACAGTGGGGCCCAAATGAATATTTACAAATGGGAGTGGTAGGAACCCAGGTAGGAATCCCAGATGTTGCTCTGACTTAATGAAGTATTCACAAATCTCGTTTGCCTGCTAGGTAAGACATTTTTCAATGGATGTAGGACACACATCCCTAATCCTAAGGGGAGGGGGTGTACAAAATAGTAGCCCTTGGTGGTGCCTCTGTCAGCTCTTTGGTGTGGGCTGAAAGGCGTTTTAGAATTGTGAAGGCAAATCTAAAGTGCAGTGAGGGGCCACAGAGTCGAGTCTCAGAAGAACCACACTCACCCAGGGTTCCCAGGGAAGATCTAGCCAAGTTACTGGGGACATTGAAGGGTTTCACAGCTTCTCATCTTCTCCTCCATTTCTGGGGATACATAACAAGGTCAGCTAACGTGCAGAACTGGTTAAGCTTTCAAGTTATAAGTAGTTGGGGCTGGTGGGGGGAGTAAGAAAGGAAGTGGGTAAATGAATAAATGAAACCATTTAAGGGGTGGGGTTTGGGAGTTACACAGTAGGTTGGTTCCCTCCTCACATCAATATGAGATAGTCCAGGAAACTGACAGACTGACCCTAAAACTACACCCCATGAGCAAAAGGTCTGTCTGGGGATGTTTTCTACTAGATCTAGAGGCTTCTATCCCACAGTAATCTCTACTTGCCAGTGGCATAATGACCACTAGCATTTATATAGTGCTTTAAAGTTTGCAAAACACAAATACCTCATTTGATCTTAATGTAGGTGCTATTAACTCCATTTTACAGATGAAAAAACTGAGGAAGTTAAGTGACTTGCCCCTGGGTCACACAGCTAATGTCTTGAGGCCATAGCTGATCTGGGTCTTCTAGACCATCCACTGCACTACAAGTTTTCCAAACTATGCTGTTAGCTCCATTGCAATTTGATGTCCAACATAGTGGGGGCATAAAAGACAAGCTAAATTTTGCTTGGGGAAATAACAAGATGTTCTTTAAAGATGCAAAGTTATCTTGGCATATTAAGATAAATCTAGGTCTTCCACTGGAGATTTCAGGAGCCAGAGACAGTGGGTTTCCTTTAACTCTCTTATCAACCCTCTTATTTATTTAACCCTCTTATCAGTGATATTAGACCTAAAGTCCACAGAAAATCCTTGTGTGTGTCCCTCACCTCCAGGGCAGCAGGACTAGCCTGTCCCCTGAGAACTCAACCATTATGCCCTGCAGTAGGTGAGTTTCAAAAATGAGGATACTACTGTCTGAAAATCAAGTCATGCAAAATGAGGTTTTGTTTGCAGGTTCCCCAGTTTCTTCAGAAAATACTGAGTAACCACCAAGTGTGGTGACTTAAATGTAACTACTGGCCAAAGTCTCACCTGTTAAAATTGTGTCAAGTTTGTTCACAACTATTCTGGCATTGTCCATGTTGAAGCACATTGGAGGCTTAAATTTCAGGACATTTCTTCCCGGTCCATCAGTGCTCAACAAAATACAGGCATCTTTTAACCTGGAAGAACAAAAGCATCCGAGAAGGCAAGCTGTTGAAGTTTTGCTTCTCTTTCAGAAGATGTTTGGGTGGCCCAAAGGCATCAGTCACACCAACCTGGTTCTGAAACGAGGGCAAAGGCTACAGAGAACATTTCATATGTCAGCTCCCCATATGGTCTGTCTTGAACCCATGCCAGTACTGGGCAGAGGATTTGTCTTTTGCTTTCCTTCTATTCTCTTGCTGGTAGGGAAGATGGAGAAGGGAGGAGGGGAGATTGTCCTAGTCCCATGCCCATGCAGTATCTAGTGATCCAGGGTTCAGTTTCGCAGTCAAAACCCAGCAATGGATGTTCCTCTGGGGAGGAAGCTCCGGAGAGTATGTTCAGACCTAAGGACGTTCACAGCTTAACACATAGCTAGGGGTTTGCAAGATTAGATGACAGTGGCACAACTCAGATTCTAAATGTTTTATGTTTGGCCAGATTTCATTCCCCCTCAATCCACAAAAACTGAAGTACTTTGGGGAAAGGTCAGCTTCCCTGGAATGAGGGCAGTTTCAAGTTCTGAGATACAGTCATCATGTGGGAGCCATCTTATTTAATCAAGAGTGAATTGAGTGAAGGGCAAGACATATTTTGCTTGATTCAGGTAGGGTTCTATAGATATTTCTGGCTCCTACATATAGGAGTCTATAGGGTTATAGCTAAAGTTGGAAAGGACCTTAGAGGCCTAGACCAACCTCATTTCACAATTGAGGGGACTCCAGCCCAGGGAGCTAAAGTGACCTACACAGGTAATAAGTAGCAGAGCTGGGATTTGAACCCACATCCTTGTATTCCAAGGAATTACTCATCACTTTTCCTCTTGTACCATGTTATTTCCTAGGCTGAGAAGGGTCCCAGTGGAAGTTGATGAATTCCCAAGAGCTAAATAAAGCAGCATGGTGCAGTTAGTTGATAGAACCAGCCTTGGAGTCATGGAGACCTGGGTTTGAGTCTCATCTCTCACATTCTGGCTGTGTGACCCTAAACAAATCATTTAAACCTCTGCCCTGTCCCCAGACGACTCTTAAGACTGAAGTTAAAGAGAAAGTGGGTGATCTACACTGGGAGAGGAAATTCCTCAGTGGGAGCTACAGTACCAATATAATCACAAATCAGGTAAAACCCGCCCCACTCCCCCCCTTTTTTTTTTTGTCCTGAAGGCTGAAAATGTTTACCAGATGTTTTAGGGTCTGAGTGAAGTAGGTTTCTGAGAAGGGAAAAGAGCAGCTGTTTCATAGCTCAAGGTTCTAAATTGATAGTGCTATAAGTTATTAGCAGTGACTTGAAAGATATTTGTCCATTCCAAACTCCTGGGGCCAAGGGAAAAAAGTATTTTTGGAGAGTGAGAGTTCGTTTTAGGGGCACTGAGAGGGTTGCTTCCCTTATGTTTATATTCTGTGTATTCTTATTTATGTATGTGTAATCTCTCCCATTAGAATGTAAGCTCCTTGAGGGCAGGGTCTGTTTCTTGTTTGTCTTTGTATCCCCAGAATCTAGCCTATAGTAGGTACTTAATAAATGCTTGTTGGTTGATTGATCAGTTGATTCTGAACATTCAGTTGGATCCCATTTCAGGTATGGGATGAAAGACTGCCCATTGAAAACCGACTAGCCCCAGTCCCAATCTCCTGGGGATTTATGTACTCCTGACAGGGATGAGCTCATAGAAGGAGCTCCCTGGATCTTAGGTGCTGGCCCTGACTTGTCTCATTCTTCCCTGTGGGGCCCCTACCTTAACCCCCTTGGCCCTTCCCAATTAGGGCCCTTCTTAGCTTTGACACAGGGACCCCATGGGTGCTGGGTTAGGTGTAGGAAGATATATTTCAGTTTTACTTTTGTTTTTATACCACCTCATTTTTAAATCATCCCTATCCAGAGAACCATCCCTTATAAGGAAGAATACAAAAGAGGGGGGAAAAGGTCAGCAAACCTAACCAACAGATCAAATGAGTGACATGTGCAATGTGCCCACCCATAGTTTCAAAGTAGTGAAGGAGGGCCATCTTTTCCTCTCTTTTGGGGAACAAGAGTGCAGGTGCAGGAAGATACTTTAAAAGGAGAGGAAAAAACCTACATACCTAGAAACCAAATAGTCAGCTTCCTCTGTGGCTGGTGTCCTTGTTTCCTCGTCTTTGATTAGATCCACACCAATGAACAATCCAACACCCCTGGAAAAAACAGCATTTTATCTGACTGAATGCTTGGCTTTCCTGTTCCTTGTTAGGGAATTCAGTTCACCTCTCTTGAAAAGTATTGAATGAGTTCTTTAAGCCCTGTGGTACATAGGATCATAGGCCTATAGCTGTAGAAGACCTCAGAGACTATATTTAGATCACCCCCTTCATTTTACAGGTGAGGAAATTGAAGCTCAGGGAGGTTATGACTTGCCCAAGGTCACAAGTGTCAAAGGCAGGATTTGAACCCAGATCCTCGAGCTCCAGAACACTGCAATGATGATTCTCCCTCTAAGGGATGGCAGGAAGACTCCACTGGCTTGCCCAGGTCTGCCCCCTGCTTCATTATGATGAAGCTCATAATAATAGTTATAATAGCTAACATCAGACCCAGTGACAAGGAACCAGGGAACCTTTCTATCATCTAGATCTCTTTGGTGGTAGAAAGGGAACTCAGGTAGGTAAAACCACCAGAAAGAAATAAGCAGTTTCAGAGAAGGGACAGGAGGGCAATTCTGTGATAGGAAGGTTAGGTAACTGGGTGACCTGGCCTTTATATGCTCTGCTGAGGGCTTAGGGCTGTGGAGAAGGTTCTGCCTGTTCTCCAAAAGAGTGTCCAAGACCAGGGTTGAGGGCCAAACCATCAAACTGACCTGACATCACCAATGATGGGATGCTTGGCCTTCTGCTGGTTCAGCAGCCCCATGAGGAAGTCTCCCACATGGGCAGCATGGGCCTGGAGGTGCTCCTTTTCTAGAACGTCCAAGACTGCCAAACCCACTGCACAGGAAACAGGACTTCCCGCAAACTGAGGCCAAGAGACGAGGGATAGCAATCAGGGCAGACAGCCAACGGGGAAAAGAGGTGGTGAGAGGAAAAGGCAGGGTGTTGAAGGCTGCGGACAGACGAAATCTTGAAGGTGGGGTTCAGTGGCAGAGAGTGTATAAGGTATTTGGAGAAATTGAGTCTGCCCTCTTTGAATTAAAATAGGGTTCCAGTAAGAAGCAAATAGGAGATAATGTCAAACTAATTCCCCGCTGGACATTTCAAACTGGATGTCCCGGCACTTCAAGCTCAGCATGTCCAAAACAGAACTCAGTATCTTTTCCCCCTCCCAACTTTCCCTCTTTCAAACTTCCTTGTCTAAGGCTCCATCATCCTTCCAGTGTCCTGGGTTTGTAACCTGGGCATGAGCCTCGACATCCTTTCCTCCCTCGCCCCTTCAAAGCCAATCCGTTTCCAGACCTTGTTTCAGTGACCTCCACTCACATAGCTAACCTTAGTGCAGATATGCATCCCCTTTCACTTAGATAACCTCCTACACGACTGCTTGCTTAGTGAGAACAGTGACTCAGTGTGACTAAAATCACCTCTGCTGACTCCTGGGATAAAACAGAAACTCCTCTCTTAAACAGCCCTTCATAACCTGGCCCCAGCCTACCTGTCCAGCCTCACTGAACCTCAAACTGACCTTCCTACTGTTCCTCAGACATGATCCTCCATTCCCATCTCCATGCCTTTGGCCTGGCCAACCCACATGTCAGGAATTAACTTCCTCTTTATCTTCCACCTTTAAATATCAATCCAAACATCACCTTCTGCATGAAGCCTTTCTCTATTTCCCAACTACTAGTGCCCTCCCTCCCAAGCTATCTTATATTTAACTATTTTGTATTTATTTGTATTCACTTTATGTTTATGCTGCATATATTCATATATATGTATTTGTTTCCCCATTAGAATGGAAGCTCCTTGCGAGTAGGGACTGTTCATATTCTTTATACTTGTATTCCCTAGAGCTCAGCATAGCACCTGGCATATAGTAGGCGCTTAATAAATATTTGTTGATTAATTGATTGAAAGGTAGGTTGGTCTCTTCAGTCTGTCACTAAGACCTGCTGTTTTGTTTGGAATGCCTTGGTATCCACTCCAACCCCTCCATTCCCATTTCTGCCACCCTGGTCCAAGTTCTCATCTCACAGCTGCATGACTTATGGCTTCCCAGTTGGTTGACTGCCTCCAAAAATTCGGCCAGATTCATCATCCCCAAACACCACTTTTGAAATAGAAGCAATTTGGGGCAATGGTTAGAGTGCCGGACCTGAAGTAATTAGCAAGACTTGGGTCCAAAGACTACCCCAGACATTACTGGCTGTTTGACCCCTGGCAAGGCACTTCACCCTCTCTCAGCCTCAGTTTTCTCAGCTGTAAAATGGGGATGATAATAGCACCTACCTCACAGGGTGGTTGTGAAGATCAATTGAAAAAAAAATGTGAATTGCTTTGTAAACCTGAAAGTGCTATCTATAGATGCTGGCACTACGTAAATGGGAGATATTTTGATGCTTATGTCACAGTTTCCATTCAACTACTAGTGCTACCCTACTTTAGGCTGTGGAGAACTTGGTCTCTCCTTAGCCTCTTACATCCATTCCTCACAGGGAGCTTGGTCTGTGCCTTGAACTTGGTGTGAACCCGTGTGCCCTTCATTGAAGTGCTCATACTCCTGCAGTCTTTTTTCTCATTTGTGGAATGATCATCTCCGACATTCCAGATTCCACGATCCTCTGCACTTCCTCTGTGCTGCTTGCTGTGGTCCTCCGTACTCTCCTTCCCATCCGTCTGGGCTCACCAGGCCCTAAATGTCCACCCCAACCCTGAAGTCTCCTCCAGATTGTAGGCCACACCTTCCTGTACCACTCCATGGAGCACTGAATCATTCTCTGGTTGTGGATCTAACCGCAGTCTCCATGAAGGCAGGGACTATCTCCTGTCTTGCTTCTCTGTCCACTGTAAGGCTTGATCAATGCAGGGCAAGCAACAGGGCTCAATTACTTAATTCCTGTCACCAGTCCTTCTTGGAAAAGCAGGGGACGCTTGCAGATGGATTCATTTATTTTCTTTTAAACTAAATATTTAATTGGTACTATTTAAAAAAAAATATGGCTGCCACCCTCTTCCTCTCCTCATGTAGAACGCCCTCACAACAAATACGGCTAAACCAAACAAGTCAACACGCTGGCCATGTCTAACAATGCATGCCTCATTCTGCACCTGTAGTCCACCACCTCTCTGCTAAGAGGAGGGAAGCATGCTTTACTTACGGTACCATGAAGTCACAATTAGTCCTGTCATTGATCAAAACTCTGATGCCTTTGGATGTGGTTTTCCTTTGCATTGTTGTTGTCAGTGGGTAAATCATTCCCCTGGTTCTGCTCACTTTTTGCTTTGCACCAGTTCATACAAGGCTTTCTGTGATTCTCTCCCTATTCCTTAAAGTCATTGTTTCTTAACACCCAATAGTATTTCAGTTATTTACCACAATTTGTGCAGTTGTTTAAGTGGGCTATTTTCCAAAGTTGAGCTATGCCAAGCCCTCACTTCTCAGGGTTAATACCATATCGAAGCAGCTGATGTCTAGTGTTAAGTGGACTAAATCTGGATGGGGGATGGAAATTTGGCTTTGCTGCCTTATGCAAAAACACTTCCATTCTTTGGCCTCATTTTCCTTCACCTAGTATCTGTGCGACCCTCGGGCAAGTTACTTAGTCCCTGGGGCCTCTGTTTCCTTATCTGTAAAATGAAGTTAGACTAGCTGGTGTTTGAAGCCCCTATGATGACGATTTTTGCCTCTTCTCATCTACATTTCTGTCCTTAGAGCTCATCCAATCCACAGCTCCCGAGCCTCCATGGGGGCAGACTCCATGTATGCGTCTGACCACAACCTCTAACCCAGAAATATTTAACATTGCAAACTGAACTCATCTTGTCTAGAAACCAACTCCTCCCCAGCCTCCCTGTTCCTGCCGTCTGTCATCCTTTGGGAACAAGCTCAGAACTTCAGAGTCTGATTCTTTCTTCACGATGTAGCAATAGTCCATTCTTTCCTCTCCATCCCCATGATCACCAACTACTCAAATAGCCTCCTGCTTCCAACTGATACTGCAAACACTGCCTAATTAATCCTAAAAAAAATTGCTGTGAGAGATCATGGGACAGTACAGGGTACTGGGCAGAGAGGGAGTCTGGAGGTTTGAGCACTAATCTAGGTCTGGGCTCTGCTACTAATTAAAAATATGGTTGTAGGTAAGTCATGTAACATCGGTGGAGCCCATCCCCTTCGTTGGTTTGAGGAGGGGCCGCATGGATGGCATAGTGGAGAGAACATTTAACTTGGCAGTCAAAAAATTTGGGCTCAGATTGCACCTCTCACACTTAGAGGCTGTGTGAGCACAGGTAAGGCACCCATCTCCAAGACGCAAAACAAAGGGTCTTCAATTCCAAGGTCCCCTCCAACTTTCAATCTGTGATCCACAGCAGCAATATTAAAGGGTTGGAGTTGGTCAGGAGTTGGCAAACTACAGCCACACTTGCCTGCTGCCTGTGAGCTAAGAGTGGTTTTTATGTTTTAAAATATTTATTGTATTTCACACTGTAAAAACCACTCATAGCTCCAGGTCATACAAAAACTAGGCGGCCGGCCAGCCAGATCTGGCCCTTGTAGGCTGATCTCTGGACTAGTTTGTTCAGCTCTAAAATGTCATACTCCTGGCCACACACCTTCAGTGGCTCTCCCTTCTACCTACAGAGTCTCCACACCTTAGCGTTGGGTTCAAAGTCCTCTTACAATATAATATGGCCCTTAACTTCCTTCTCAACTTTATTTCTGAGCACCTAGCTTCACAGACACTCAGTCTGTACAAACTAGGTCCCTCTTTGTTGTGCAGTCGTTTTGGGTCATGTCCAACTCTGTGACCCCATGGACCATGATGTGTCGATACTGTCCATGGGGTTCTCTTGGCAAAGATACTGGAGTGGTTTGCCATTTCCTTCTCCGATGGATTAAGGCAAACAGGTTAAGTGACTTGCCCAGGGTCACACAGGTAGGAAGTGTCTGAGGCTCCTTATTGTACCTCAAATACCTTAAGCATTCTAACCTCCTTGTTCTTGCTGTGACATGCCATGCCCCTTTCCCTATCTCTAAATTCTAAATTGGGAAGACTTCGAGGCCCAGATCACTGCTTTCCTTCCTCCAGAAAGCTTTCCCAGGTCACCCCGGGCTGCAGAGTATCTCCCGTGTGCCAGGGACATCCTAGCATCTAGGAGAGATGCAAAGATAGAAAGGACATAGTTGCTGCCCTCACAGCTCTGCGGACATGAAAAGGAGATGAGATAAATACAGGAATAACTACAATATAAGACAGAACATAATAAGCACAGGACAAAGTATTCCCACAGTGGCTGCTCTCTCCCCTGAACTCCTGTAGTTTTTATTGTCTGGCCCAGTGCTGGGCTATCACTTGTGCATGGCTTGGTGAAACTTACTTCATTCGACTGTTCCTTATCTCTCCCGTTGTCAGCTTTTCATGGACTGCTGATTAATGTCTCATTTCCCCAGGTGAACCCTGTCTCATACAGATGCTCAGCTCTCCCAGAGTGCTGCACACAGACCTCCCACTACACTAAGTACTGGGCGTTTGCTGGCCCGGTCCTCGGTCCTCACAGGGGTGACGGGCTGGAAGGGGACCTCTGGGACCATTCAGGCCAAGCCCTTCCTTTTACAGAAGAAGAATGTGGAGCCCAGGGAGGCTGGGGAAACTTGCCCAACCTCCCACAGGCAGTAATCATCAGAGGTGGGGTTTCAGAAGCTGGGTTTCTTTAGACCAGACAGAGAGCTGTACCCCAGCAGGGCTCAGGCATCCCACATGCAGGCCGCCCATGGGCCACACAGGGCCCACCAGACATCAGGGTGTTGGTGAATTATTTTAGCAGAGGTGGCTTTTATCCGACATGAGCTGGCAAAGGTCACCAGGGAACAGCCTACTGCCACTCCTAGGTAAATGACTGCTGCCAGGCTCCATGCTAGCAGGTTTGCAAAGGTGAGATACAGTAGAAAGAGCACAGGCCTTGAAGTCAGGAGACACCTGTGCTCCAATCCCACCTCCGACTCTTATTACATGAGCACAGCCCTGCTCCTCTTGGGGCTGCGATTTCTTCATCTGTTTTTTCAACCAGACCTGCAACTTCATCATTCACATCTAGTGAAGAAACCTCTTCTACTTGTAGGTCAACATGTATTTGCTCTACAAATTAGTCTTCACTGAGAGGTTAAGTGATCTGCCTGGGGTCACACAGCCAGGACGTGTCGGAAGAGGGGCTTGAACCCTGGCCTTCCTCATTCCAAGGCCAACTCTTCCCCTATTCTGCTGCCTTTCTCATCTGTAGAATGTAGATGATCATATCTGTGCTGCCCACCACCAAGGGGCGTTAAGAGGAAAGCATTCTGTAAACCTTCAAGCACTCTAGAGGTAGAAGTTATTATCATATATGGTAATAATATCAAGAATTTCTGAAGCCCACACACAGAGCATTTGCCGATCATGTGTCTTATTACTAGGGGAAAAAAAAATTTTGATCCCTCTGCACTAGAAATGCTTCCTCTGCCTGGTATCCTTGGAGCTAAGCCAGCGAATCCCCGGCCCGCTTCTGTCCTCCCAGTTGAGCCTGGGCTTAGGGTGGACAGAGTGCTCAGCAAGAAGACCAGAACTGGGGAGGAGGGGCGTGGATCCCTGGGGATTTCCTTACCGTGTTGAAATACTCAACGCCAGTGCCTGCAAAGGCCTCGGCGATGTCCCGGGTCGTGGCCACACAAGCGATGGGGTGGCCGTTACCGATGGGCTTGCCCATGGTGACGATGTCGGGGACAAAGTCCTCCCCCTGCAGCTGGAAGGCCCAGAAATGCTTGCCGACTCGGCCAAAGCCAACTTGAATCTCGTCAGCCACAAAAACGCCTCCAGCCCTTCGGATGTGTCTGCAGAAAAGTAAGGTGGGGGGTGATTTGCTGCTTCCCCTCTGCCCACTTAGGGAATGTGGCAACGTGAGAACCCTGGGAAAGACTCCATTTTAGTTCTTAGGGCCGTGGAAATGCTTTGTGACCTTTGTCAAGTCGCATTACCCCTATTCCAGGGAGTCACTGTCATGTTGGAAAGATTCAGATTTGGAGACTCCACAGGACTATGGATTTAACAGGTTTAGGAGAGACCTTAGAGGTCATCTTGTCCAAGTGCCTCATTTTGCAGATGAGGAAACTGAGGAACAGGGAAGCAGAGTGGCTCGTTCTAGGCAACAGAGATCTAATTCGAAACAAGACTAAATCTGGAACGGTTTCCACTCTACCATGTTGCCTTGTAAGCATCAAAGGATCCTGGTTCAAAGCCTGGCTCTGCTATTTTACTACCTCTGTGAACTTGGATAAGTTGCTTCTCTTTCCAAGGCCTCACTTTGTTCATCTGTTAAATGGCAGAAGCTAGTCTAGAGAAGGTCCTTTCTTCCACCCAATCCTATAATCTTAGGCCTCAGTTTCCTCATCTGCAAACTAAAGAGGGCCAGGGGTGGTAGGTTTCTAAGATTCCTTCTATCTTTGGAGATAAAATTTTTAAAAAGAGTTTTTATCTAAATACTGTATGGATGCTCTTTGTTTTTCATGGCTATGCTCTCACCCTCCCCTTCCCACCTCCTCACCACCTCTAGAACCGTTCTAAAACAGATCAGTGGTCAAGTCAAAAGAGTAAAACCACTGGCCATGGCTGACAACATATACTTCATTCTGTACCCACAGTACACCACTTCTGTCCTGAGAGGTGGAAGCTGTGCTCTTGGAACTCAAGATCTACTTAGGCGTTTTTGACAGACAGGCCCAGCCTAGGCAGGTGATCATGAATAAGGACTGAGGGCCTAAGATTTCTCACATTTGATACCCTCAGTGAGGCACAGATGCTCTCATCCACTTCCCACTGTAATTCTGCAATGACCTACTTACTCCGCTGCCTTCTGGAAATAACCAGCCGGGGGAATGATCTGGCCTCCCACGCTGGGCAAAGACTCAATAAAAAAGGCCGCTATCTGTGGACAGAGAGAGCGATGCGAGGCTGTGGCTGTGTTAACACGGGCAGCACTTTCCCTCAAAGGAGCACAGAGGGCACAGGCTTGCCGAGGGCTCGGCGCTGGGGAAGGGGAGGACGAGTCCTGCTGGGCTGGGATCTCCTCGCCTACCACCCTCTCCCACAGAGCCCCCGGAGGCCCCCACGGCCCCACGGCCTTAGCAAGCATGCTACCAAGACCATTACCTTCCTGCCCTTCTCCTGTGTGCTGTCAATCACCTGCTTCACCTCTGCTGCATATGCACGGGCTGGCTCTGGGTGGTCTTCTCGGTAGAGCCCTCGGAAGGTATCTGGGAGAGGGACCTATGCATAGAAATACTGTAATACATGTAGAACACTTTGTAAACCTTAAAGGGCTATATGAGTATGAACTTATGAGTGGAGGGAGGGACAGGTCCAGACTTCATTAGTGTAGGGAATTCCACTAGGGGAAATTCCCTCTCCCAGTGTATGGTGGCACCTTCTCTGTGACTTGCCGTCTTAGCTGCTTTGAGGCATTGGGAAGTTAAGTGACTTACTCAGGAGCATACAACCAGTATGTGCCAGAGGAGAAATTTGAACCCAGCGCTTTCTGACTCAGAGGCCTGCCCTCCATCTAGTAGGCCCTGATGCATCTCTGAGCTGTTACTAATATCATCATGACCCTGGGTTAGGGATACATACCACGTGTACCCACTCTGGCTGTCCTTCCAGACTCTGGAACTTGTAAGGGCTTATGTCAATCAGAGAGCTCAGGTGCCCATGGTAAGCACTGAGGAGAGAAGGGGAAATCAGTCCTTCCGTAGAGCTGCAGGCCCTGCCCCACCCCCAGGAGATACCCCTCAATATGAGCTACACCTGGGTATGGCCACCCTCACTGACTCCCCAGGATTGGCAGCTTCCTCCTAGACCTGGCACTCCTTAGCTGGCTCAAGAGGTCTCCAGAAAAGAGCCCTGAGTCTTGCATTAGGAGACCTGGTGAGGAATCTGGGAGCTGACCCTTCCTGAGCTGCGTGACGTCTATCTGAGCCTCAGTTTCTGCATTTGTAAAATGGGAATAACAATACTGTGATTCCTCACCTCATGTGAGGTGTACTGTACTACAAAAACAGATACCGTGACTATTATCAAATGCAATGGGACAGGTGTATATATCAGGGATTGTCACCTCCCCGGAGGTGCCTCTGTCATCCTCTTCCCCTCCCAATTCCAGGGGAGCCCTGATGAAAGTGGATGTGGAATACGGTTATTCTCTAGGAATAGGGGACTCTACCACCAACCCTTGGACTTTGCTCCTGTCACCCACTGGTCCTGGTGCCTTCCTCTTTTCTGCCTTAGACTTTCCTGGTCTAAGGCATCTGAAATCAAAGCAAAACCCTCCATCCCTAAGAATCATCCCCAGCCCATGTCTTTCTCCAACAGTGGTAATAATAATTTATTTCCATAGCACTTAAGGTCATATCTATGGTCTCGAGTTGGAAAGTCCTCTAAATCCAAATTATCCCTCAGTTTGCAAAAGAGAAAAATGAGGCCCAGGCAGAAAGTGACTAACCCAAGGTCACATAGGTAAATGGCCTTGGAAGGTAGGACCTGTGAATATAACTATCTCCTTTTTACTGATGGGGAAACCAAGGCTCACAGAGGTTCCTAGGAGACCTTTTTATTTTTATTTTTTTTGTTTTTTAGGCATTTGGGGTTAAGTGACTTGCCCAGGGTCACACAGCTAGTAAGTGTCAAGTGTTTGGTCTGAGGCTGGATTTGAACTCAGGTACTCCTGACTTCAGGGCCGGTGCTCTCTCCACTGCGCCACCTAGCTGCCCCCTAGGAGACCTTTTTAGAAGGATCTGGCACTTACTGGTCCACTACCACCACATCTCGATGTCCAGTATACCGACGAGCCAGCCTCAGGGCCAGGTCATTGGCTTCAGACCTACAATAGATGGTGACAACCACTCAGATCACTGACCAGCAGGCTAGGTTTCCTTTCATTGTGGAGTGCAATAAGCATTTATTATGTACTGTGCTAAATGCTGGGGCCACAAAAAAAGTCAAAAGACGGCCCCTGCCTTCCAGGAGCTCACAGTCTAATGGGGGAGACAACAAGCATTTAGGGTGAAACCAGCTATACACGGGCTAGATGGGAGATCACTGAGAGGGAAGGCCCTAGACTGAAGAGGGGCTGGGGAAGGCCCCCTGTAGAAGCAGCCCCTGCTGGGGCTTCCTCTGGCCCTAGGTTCTCTTGGGCAGCCCCAGAGAGGCACTGCTAGCCAGCTGCTGCCTCCAGCACTTATAGTGAGCATAGTACGATACTGGGCCAGGAGCAGGACAGGTTTAGATAAGACTCAGTCCTTGCCTTCATGGAGCTTACAGTCCAATAGGGAGGTAAGACATGAACACAGATAATTAGAGTATGTGATAATGTTTGATAAATATGTCTGAGAACTGTTAAAAAAAGAAAAAAGGCTACATCCAATTATTTCATCTGCTGGGCACAGCCTGTGCCTTGATGAAAGGCCAGGCTGGGCCTTCCATCTGTCCTGTACACAGGGAGTCTGTCCCTTCCTAATGCCACCTCATAGCCGCTGCCCTCAGATGAGAGACCTCAGACCTGTGCCCTAGCACAGCATGTCATGTCTCTGAGGAAAGGCCGCTAGGGGCTGGGCCAGGCCTCTCCCACCTGCCCCAAAGCTACTGTGCCAGTCTGAGGCAATTTCTGCTTCCCTGCTCTGGACTGATCTCCCAAAGGGGATGTAGAGACCCCCCAGTACAAAGAGCAACCCTGCCTCTGGCTTCTGTCTCTCATCTCCTGCTGGGCTTGTCTTCTTCTACCTGATGGTGAACGTTCTCATGCCTGGTCCTACCTTTCACATCCCAGTGACTCTGAACTCCTCTAGGTCATCATCCAAACCCCATTCCCCACCTCCCACTACCTGATTCCTCATTGCCATCCACCACAATCGTCCCACCTCAAAGTTTCAACCTAGCACCAGTCCTTCCTCTGGGCCCTCTGGAATGCCTATTTCACAAACATCAAACTTCCTTTCATTTTAAATCTGCTCCTCTCCCACTTTTTCTGTCCATTAGCTTTTACTGAAACCTGATTCCCCCCAACAACATCGCCCGACTGACCACCCTTTCCAGTACTGACTACACCTTCACTTATTCTCCTTGACTTATTGGTCAAGGCGAGAGATCTCGTTGGAATATTCCTTTCACCCCGTTGCCACTTCCAGATTCTCTGCCTTTCTCCATCACTGGGTAACCTTTCTTCCTTTGAGCTTCATGCTACTCACATCTACCACCCAATCAAAATCTTAGTAACTCTTGTCCACAGACTTCCCCCTTCCCCTCGTCACTCCCCTTCCTTACTGAGTTCAGTAGCTGGCTCACAACTTTTCTCTATCCCCAGTTCCTGCCTTCAAACTAGGGGATTTCCACATATATACCAATTCCCCCTCAAATACCTTAACCACTCAGTTCCTCAACTTACTCATCTCTCACGAGCTACTTCACTACCTTACCTCAGCCACACACAAAGATAGTCACCCTCCAAAAATGTACCACCTCCAGGTTAAAGAATTCTAAAATCCTCTGATCTGACCATAATTGGCTTTTCACCTATCCCTCTGCCTTCCCTTACAAAACCCTACCTTTTGTCTGCACCATGACCTCTAATCTCTTGACCCCTCCATCCTCTCCCAGACCATCTCCTCAGCACTAGCCATTCTATTCTTTTTCTCCAGCCTTATCCCTTGGTGAAGCAATTCAGCTCTACACTGACTTCCTCTCATGAATCCCTAACTCCCTTATCACATTGATGATTACTCCCAGCCAAAAGTCATCCTTGGATCACAGTCACGAAAGAAAGTGGAGATAATCACACAATTCTTCTGAGTGTGCCCACTACAAATTTATGTTATATGACTTCAACTAGGCCCTCTGATACTAGGCAACCCTCCTATACCTTTCTTACCAACTCGCTATCCCACTCTCCACAATGGCTCTTCCAAGCCTTTTTTCATCCCTCCTTAAATCTCCCTCCACTCTCAGCTGGGAACTTTGCCTCATATTTTACAGAAAAAAAATGGAGGCCATTTGCCATGAGGTCCCTCTTCTCCCTTCTTCCTTATCTCCTATCATGCAGGTGCCTTCTGCCACTAACTCCTCCTTCACCCCGTTTCACATGGTGAAGTAGCCTTACTCCTTACCGAGGCTCACCCTTCTACTTGTTGAAGGGATCCCATTCCATCCCTTTTCCTCCAACACCTTGTCCCTCCGTCATCTCTGCTGTTTTCATTATTTTCAATCTCTCCCTCTCCACTGCCTACAAATATGCCCATCTCTCCCCAATCCTGAAAAGACTTTCATTTGGTCCTTCTATCTCTGCTAATGACTATCCTATATTTCTTCCGCCCTTTGTAGCTAAACTCCTCACAAAGGTCATTTACAAGAGGTGCCTCCGCTTTCTCTTCTCTTACTCTTTTCTCTACCTCTTCCAGTCTGGCCTCTGACCGCATCATTCCACCAAAATCGGTCTCTCCAAAGTTATCAGTGATCTCTTAGTTGCCAAATCCAATGGTCTTTTCTCAGTCCTCGTTCTCCTTGACCTCTCTGCAGCCTTTGACGCAGTTGATCGCTTTCTCCTCCTTGACACTCTCTTTTCTCCAGGACTGGTGTCTTTCAGGACACCACCCTCTCCTGGTTCTGTTCCTACCTCGCTGACCGATCCTTCTTTGCCTCCTTTGCTGTATCATCATCCAGATCACACCTTTTAACCACAGGTGTCCTGGGACATCTCTTCTCCCTCTAGACTACTTCACTTGGTGATCTCATCAGCTCCCATGGATTTCATTCCCATCTCTCTGCTGAGGATCCTCAAATCTACATATCCTGCCCCAAACTCTCAGCCCACCTCCAATCTCCAACCTCCAACTGCCTTACATCCATCTCAAACTGGATATCCAGCAGACATCTGAGACTCAGTATGTCCAAAACAGAACTCATCCTTCCCACTGCCTGACTTCCCTATAGAGGAGGACAGCCACCATCCTCGCAGCCCTCAGGTTCACATCCTAGGAGTCATCCTGGACTTCTCACTCTCTCTCCCTCCTCCATATCCAAGCTGTTGCCAAGGCCTATTGATTTCACTTTTGCAACATCTCTCAGGTATGCCCACTTCTCTCCTCTGACATTGCCACCGCTGGTGCAGGCCCTCATTGCCTCACGACTCAATTACTGCAATAATAGGTTTCCTTGCTTGGAGTCTTTGCTTGTTTCAATCTGTCCTCCATTCAGTCACCAAAGGGATTTTCTTAAAATGCAGGCCCAGTTATCTCTCTCTCTCTCTCTCTCTCACACACACACACACACACACACACACACACACACACACACACACACACGGGCTCCCACTCTTAATAAAGTCCTGTGGCAAATACAAAATGCTCTGTTTGGCATTCATGACCTAGTCCCCTCCTATCCTTTCCAGTCTTCTGACACCTTAGTCCCCCACATATACTTTTCCATCCAGTGACTGGGCTCCAGGCATTCTCTCTGGAATGCTTTCCCTCCTCCACTCTGACCTCCTTAGCTTCCTTTAAATCCCAACTAAAATCCCATCTTTAACCCCCCACTTAATTCCAGTGCCTTCCCTCCTTAATTATTTCGTATTTGTCAGGTATGTAGCCTGGTTTGTATTTATTTGTTTGCTTGTTATCTCCATCTTTAGAATGTAAGCTCCTTGAGAGCAGGGACTGTTTTTTTTTTTTGCCTCTTTTTGTATCCTCAGGCACTTTTTTAATAAATGTAGGCTGACTGATTACTCACCAGGGAAAGTTCCATTTAACAATTCAATTCATCAAGCATATATGGCTTTACTAGCCCGGAAGCCAGGCAGTCTGGGCCTGGCAGGGGTCCAGGAGACCAGGGCTCAGGTCCCACCTGACACACCCTGGGTATGTGGTCCTGGATGGGCCACAACCTCTCGGGGCTCTGGGCAGTTCTCTGATGCTCTCAGATGTGGAGATGTTGCTATCTGCCTGGTAGAAGGAGCTTCCCCCAGGGAGCTCTTCCACAGACAAAATCCCAGGTCCAGATTTAAAAAAAAAAAATTGTGCCCGGCACTGAGGATGCAAAGACAAAAATGAAGCTGTCTTCCTCCTAAAGGCTCTGGGGGACTTCGGCAAAGGCCGTGCTGGATGTGGGAATTTAAAGGTTGGGGGAGGGAGCAGGAGACTATTCTAAGGACAGGGAATAAGGTGAGCAAAGGCAGGGGTCAGAGAGCACAGGGATTGTTTAGGGGCCAGAGAGAGTCCAGTTAGGTTAGAATACTCAGTGTAGAGAGGGGTGGAGTGGCAGGCAAGGCTGGAAAGACAGGGAGGTATCACGTAGCCTAGGGTCTCAAATTGTTTTTGTTCAGTCATGTCTGATTCCTTGTGACCCCTTTTGGGGTTTTCTTGACAAAGATACTGGAGTGGTTTGCAGTTTCCTTCTCCAGCCCATTTTACAGGGGAGGAAACTGAGGCAAGTAAGGTTAAAGTGATATGCCCAGGATCACACAGCTGGTTAAGTGTCTGAGGCTGGATTTGAACTCAGGTCTTTGTGACTCCAGGCCCAGCCTGATGACAGCCAGTGCCACCTAGCTGCTTGCTTCTTACACTGCAGAGCCATCAATCAATCGACAAACATTTATTAAGTGCCTCCTATTTCCAGGATCTGTGCTAGACACTGGAGATAATGAGACCAAAAACAGTCCCTGCCCTAAAAGAAGCTTTCCCTCCACTGGCCTAGCTAACAAGGTACAGCCCTCTTTGGGGGGTGGGGGTGGGAGCAGGACATCCCTGGTGGCTCAGAGACTTACCCCGAGTTCAGGAAGTAGAACACACAGAGCTCCTTGGGCAGCGTTCGGGACAGCCTCCGAGCATAATCCACTATGTTGTCATGCAGGAAGCGGCTGTTGGTGTTTAACACTTGGTTTTGTTGATGCGCGGCTTGGACCACGTGAGGGTGGCAGTGCCCGACTGAAAGGGGGCAGAGTGAGAGGGTAGAGCTGAGGTTGCCCTGGAAGGGCTGAGCTTCTATCTCAATCCTGTCAGCCAGCCCTCCTCCATCAGATAGGTTGGGTCATTCTGCCCCAGGCCTTCCCACCCACATGGACAAACAAGCAAATAGAGGCTAGAGAGAAGCCTTGCTGCCCTTTACCCCAGAAGGGAAGGTCATGAGTCTTCAAGGCTAAAAGATGCTTAACAGAAGAGGGGAGTCGGTGGCAAAGTGCATAGAGAACCTGCCCTGATGTCAGGTGGACCTGAGTTAAAAAATCTGGCCTCTAACACTTACTAGCTGTGTGACCCTAGGCAAGTCACTTAACCCTAATTGCCTCAAAAGAGGGAATTCTCAAGATACCATGAAAATAAGAAAGAAACAGGTTGTGAGATGAGTGAGATCTAAGGGATAAATACCAAAAGTACACCGTGAGAACAACAGAGAAGAGTATTAAATTTGGAGTCAAAAGACCCCCTTGCAAATCCTGGCTCTGGAGAAGTCACCTAAAGTCATCTTTCTGGGCCTCAGCTTTCTTATCTGGAAAGGGAAGGGGTTGAACTAGAAAGTTCTAGGTCAAGCGGGGGGAGCCTGCGGCCTTGAGGGCACATGTAGCTTTCTAGATCCTTAAGTGCGGCCTTTCTACAGAATCCAAATTTTACAGATTTGTACTGTTTGGATTCCGTCAAAAGGCCACACTTAAGGATCTAGAAAACCACATGCGGCCTCAAGGCCGCAGGTTCCCCACCGCTACTTAGGTCTATGATCCCAAGTCAAATCAGGGGCTAACAAGGGTCCTGGCAGGACAGGAGACAAACGTGCACTGCTAGCTGCCCTGCAGCACCTCCATGGTCCCAGCAGCCCTTGGTTTGTGAGCGAGGTACTGCTCCTGGTACCTACCGTGAGCCACGTTGTTGATGCAGTCAATGTACTCCACTCCCTTCTCATCGTACATGTACTGGCCTCGGCCCCGCACAATCTTCACAGGGTCCTCAGAAAAAAAAAGCCTGCAGGAAGAGCTGCAAAGGGAGACCGCAGAGGTAACAGGCTCCTTTAACCACTGCCCGGGTGCCTCCTTGCCTCAGGATGTCCAGTGTACCTAACTTATCCCTTCGTGTGTTTGTATTCTTGGCTTGGCTCCTGGGAATGGCTAGTCCTCCCTTCTCTCTTCCTCCTGTGTTGTAAGTATGTGCTGTACTCTGGGGTACCTGCTTATCAGGTCTGTGAGGGTGGTTTTCTCCCTCCTCCTCCCTTTTCTGTCTAGACTCATCTCAGTTAGATGTGTAGCACTCCAAGCAAATATGCTTTTTATCAGGCCTGGTTAAAGCACACTTCCCTTCTTGCCAAGACCCATCATTTTTGTGTTTTAAGCTGTGGTCCACAAGGAAACAGCCTGTATGGTAGGTGGCGCAGTGGACAGAGACAGGAAGACTCATCTTCCTGAGTTCAAATCTGGCCTCAGACACTTACTAGCTGCGTGACCCTGGGCAAGTCACTTAACCCTGTTTGCCTCAGTTTCCTCATCTGTAAAATGAGCTGGAGAAGGAAATGGCAAATCACTTCAGTATCCATGCCAAGAAAGCTCCAAATGGGGTCACGAAGAGACTGAAATGAATGAATAACAACAACATAGGAATTATCATTTACAAATTTAGTCGGTTGATAAAATCAAGCCCTGGGCCCCCCAAGATAGAAAGGGTCAGACCCTTGAACTAAATGGAGCCGCTAATATAAGAGGATCAAGTCTGAGGAGCCAGCCGGTCTCCGTTCAAACTCTCTTTGAAGTTTGCCGTGTGCCGTGTTCTTGGAGCAATGGTCACAGAGTGGGATCACGCCTCAGAGAATGAGGCTCCCTCCTCTGCATGTGTTCCTTCATCTGCCTGGGAGGTGAAGGGCACTCTGTTCATCTTTCTATCCCTGCCCAAGCATACAGTGTGATACAGTGGAAGAGGGCTGGTTTTGGAGTCAGAAGGAAGCTGGAGTCATACAGCAATGACACCTGCACGCGATAGGATCCAAGGTAAGTCATTTCTGAGTCTCTTTTCCTCATCTGTGAAATGGGGATAATCACATTTGTTCTACCTACATCACAGGGTCGGTTGTGAAGGAAGCACCGGCTAAATCTTAGGGAGCTACATAAAAGCAAGTGTTTTGTTCCCTGGAGGACGGGGATCCAGAGTCGGAGGACCTGGGTTCAAGTCCCAATGAGGGGGGTCAGACCTGATGATCTCTGAGGTCCCTTCCAGCTCTCCATCTGTGTGGATCTAACCATAGTGCCCCATGATTATTTGTTTGACCTCAGCCTCCCAGCTCTTCGAAGATCAATTAATCAATGAGCATTTATTAAGCACCCACTGAATATCAGGCGCTCGTAATACAAATATAAAAGTAAGACAATCCCTGGCTTCAAGGAGCTTATATTTTCCAGGGACAATACAACATGTTGACAGATAATACAGGATATGTTTGCAAACAGAACAAGCATTATATTAAGCATCAACTGAATGCTAGGCATTCATAATACAAGATAGTCCCTGGCTTCAAAGAGTTTATATTCTCCAGGGGAATACAGCATGTTCACAGATAAGTAAATACAGAATATGTTTTTTTTAAAAAGTGTTGGGGGAAGGGGCAGCTAGGTGATACAGCACTGGCCCTGGAGTCAGGAAGACCTGAGTTCAAATCCGGCCTCAGATACATAACACTCACTAGCAGGGCAAGTCACTTAATCCCAATTGCCTCACCAAAAAAAAAAAAAAAAAAGTGTAGGGGGAGAAGAGGTAGTAGGAGGGTGGGGGCTAGCACTTAGAGAAAAGGCCTTATGAAGGGTGCGGCATTCTATTGATAAGACTGAAACTGCCCAGGAAAGCCCTAGCTGAGTTAGTTTTTCTTCCCAGTGTTTTTGGTTTTTTTTTTTGAGATTTTCCAAGAGCTGCTTTCTCCATTCAGATCCCTGGCTGCTGGATTCCCCAAACACTCACCCAGCAGTTCTTCCCTCCATGGCCCTGGTGAATGGCAGGCAGCCCCTCCCACAGGTGGTGATCACCATCACTGCCAGCAAGCAAGAACACTCTGAAAAACTCCTCCCTCTTGTACCTTTGGCCCTGGGTTTCCTGTGTCCTTCTTGCAGGCCCAAGAAAAGTGCTGATGGAGCCCCTTCGGGATGGAAGGGGGGAAGGGAAAGGAGGGGCTGGTGGTGCCCCAGGCACCGGGCCAAAGACTTTGGAATCCTCTGCCTACTTCTCTTGAGGGGCAGAGGGCACTAACTTGAGACAAAGAATTCCAACCTGCTGCTCCTACAAGTGTGAGTGGCTGCCTAGGGAAGGAGGGGGGCAGTAAGGACATGAGCTCCACTCTGGCAAGATCAGGGGTCAGGGATATGGAAGCCAAGAAAAGGTCTAAGAGGCAGAGGAGTGAGGAGTGGGCAGTCAGGTATGAAGAGCTACAGGGTTTGGGGTAGAGCATTGTGAGGAAAGGAAGGTTCTGGGGCCAAGGGCTCAGGAGTGTGTGATGCTGAGGGCCGGGTATGTGGGACCACAGTGGGAGTGTGTATTCATGTTGGGGAGCTGAGCCAGTGCAGGGGTGTGCAAGTGGACAGGACTGTGAAGGAAGTTTGGAGAAGGGGTTGGATGGGAGGAATGGTGTGCAGAGGCAGATTTGGATAGGGAAGTAAGTGGTGGTGGGGGGTGTGTATGTGAATTTTGGCTTGGAGGATAGGGAACAGTTTGGCTGGGAGTGGGATAATGTGCCTATAAATGGTAGAGTAGGATGGTGTGGGGGAATAGTTTGGGATAGAGGGAGGATGAGGGGATGCTATGTCTACAGTTTGAAATGAGGGTTAGAATGGTTTTGGAGGAGGGGCTGTGTAGGGGGGAGGAGGAGGTACGATGGCATCTATGGGGGAATTTGGGGCTAGGGTCTATGTAAGATTAGGGAGGAGGGGGTTTGGGGAAAGCTGAGGAGGACAGGGTATGTGGGGAGTCTGGGGGACCTACGAGGCAGGGCATGTGGGGTGTTTGGGGTAGAGGTAGGGGAAGCTGAAGGGAAAATGTGTCAGAGAGTTCATGACAAAGGACTGAAGGGTCCAAGAAGCAGATAGTACAGGGGACATATAACTATTGGGGGTAGTCTAGGGGAATGAGAGGGGATAGGGTAAATGAGAAGAATTGGGGCAAAGGCATGAGAGGTCTAGGACATAGGGAGTGGATGTGGTACATCTGGATGGAGTCTGGGCAGATGGGGATACCTCCTTTAGGAAAGACATTGATAAAGCAGGTAGCCGGAGAAGAGAAAACTGGATGGTGAAGTGTCTTGAATTTACAGCACAGATAGGAGATTTGGGAACATTCAGCCTGGCAATAACTGCCTTTCCCTATCCCCACCACCATCCTCTCAACAATTAATATTTACATATGGAGTGACTTAAAGTTTGCCAAGTACTTTACACCTATTATCTTATTAAATGGGAGTGGGGAATGGATCTTAGACATGCTCTGCCTGGTTCAGAGAACTAGGAGTCATGGGTAGAAATTGCAAAGAAACAGGTTTGGACTTGATGTGAGGAAAAACTTTCCACGATTTCCTGTAGACATATCAAACTCAACATGCCCAAACCTGAACTCTTATCTTTCTCCCCTAACCTTCCCCCCTTCCAAACTTCCCTATTACTGCTGAGGGCACCATCATCTTCCCGGGCTCCCAGGTTCCCAACTCAAGTGTCATGCTCAGTCCCTCACTATCTCTCACCCCTCATATCCAATCTCTTGCCAAGACCTGTGGATTTTACCTGTGTAACATCTCTCAGATAAGCTCTCTTCTCTTCTGTGACACTGTCACCACACTGCTTCAGGCCCTCATTACCTTAAGGGGAGGCTATGTCGATTGCCTGCTGGTGGGTCTGCCTGCTACAAGGTTCTCCCCAGTCCAATCCATCCTCCTTGGCCACCAAAATGAGTTTCCTAAAACTCGAGTCCAATTTCCTCCACCCTTCACCACCCTTGCTCAATAAACTCCACTGGCCCTCTGTCACCTCCAGGATCAAATATAAGATCCTCTTTTCGGCATACAACGCACTTAATAATCTGCTCTCACACCACTCCCCTGCCCTTATCCAGTCTTCTTACACTTTATGCCCCTTCCCCCTGTGTTCTTCAATCTAGTGACAATGACCTCTTCTTAGCTATTCCAAAAAGAAGATATTCCATCTCCCAACCCTGGGCATTTTATCTGGCTGTCTCCCATTCCTGGAATGCTCTGCCTCCTATCTCCAGCTTTTGGGCTCCTTCAAGTCCCAGCTGAAATTCCACCACCTACAGGAAGCCTTTCCTGATCTCAGTTCTCTGCTGATTATTTCCAATTTATTCTGTATATGGCTCGTTTGTACATAGTTGTTTACATGTCTCTCCTGTTAGACTGTGAGCTTCTTGAAGGCAGGGGCTGTCTTTTACCTGTCTATATCTCCAATGCTTAGCATAGTGCCTCCAACATAGTGTGTGATTAATAAATGTTTACTGACTCTCTGATAATTAGATCTACCCTAAAGTGAGCCAAGGCTGGTTCCAGGAAGCAGTCAGCTTCTCCTCACCAGACAGCTTCAAGCAAAGGCTACCTGACTCGTCTATACCACTTGTCTAGAAGGAATTCCTGTTTGATACATATTAGACTAGAAACTCTGAAGGCCCTTCCAACTCTGAGGTTCAGGGATCTGGAGTCAGGACCTGACCTGCTTAAGGCAGAGATTCTTAGTGTCAAGGACCCCTTGGTGCATCAGATGAAGCCTCTGGACCCTTTCTCAGAATGTTTTTAAATGGATAAAGTAAGATGCATGGAATTAGAAAGGAACACAATTACATTAACAGAATGTTATTAAAGTGTTTTTTAAAAGGAGTTCAGGGACCCCAGGATAAGAACTCCTGAACTGCAGTCTTCCAATTCAAGCCCGGTTCCCTCTTCCCTGAGCCTTCAAGTCTAGGAAGGGCTGTCACTCAGAGAGGAGAAATTAGGTTTGTTCTGCCTGGTCCCAGAGCAGAACTAGGAGGAATGGGCAGAAGTTGAAAAGAGGCAAAATTAACCTCGACATCAAGGAAAAGCTTCCTGACAATTAGAGTTGTCCAAGAGTTGGAACCAATTGTCTCGGGGACTAAGTAGTGAGCTCCCTATCCTGAAGGTGTCCAAGCAGCAGCTGTTGCAGAGGACATTGTCCCTCAGGCACTGGCAGAGGCTTGCGGTGAAGGGGAGGGGAGGGAGGGGGACGGTGGGCTGGGGTCAAGGGTCTGGGAGTGGAAGGAGGCCCGCGAGCCGACTGTGGGAGCCCACCCTCGCTGACCACGTGGCACCCTGGCCTCGCCTGGCCTGACCTGACCTGACCCCCCTGGAGCCTCCGCAGAGGCCAAGTCCTAGGTCCCCGGTCCCGTCTGTACGCCTTCCTACCCGATAAGCTGCCTTCGCAGGGCCAGGGTCTCCTCCTTGCTGTGCCCCTCCGAGGCCATGGCGCCGGGGAAGATACCTGGCAGAGTGAACTCCGAATAGGGAGTGGGGTGGAGGCTGGCTCCTCCTGCCCTGCCTCCCAATCTTGGCCCCGCCCACCCACCATGACTTCATCCCCACCCATCCTATTCTTAGTCTTGCTTCTTGCTCCACCTTTCACCCAATCCTGAGCCGGGGCCCTCCCTACACCAGGCCCCACCTATCCTGGTTCAGTCCTGGCCCCACCTATCCTGACTACATTCCCCCCATCCTAGTCCTAGACCTGCTTCTTGCTCCACCTCCTACCCAATCCTGGGTCCGGCCCCGCCCCATGACAGTTCCCGCCTATTTCAGTCCAGTCCTGGCCCCACCCACCCTGATTTCATTCGCCCCATCCTAGTCCTAGACCTGTTTTTCTTGCCCCCCCTCCCCTCCCATCCCGGGCTTGGCCCCCCCCCCCCCCCCGTCTTGCCCCTCCCCCTATTCTTTCCGGGCCCCCCCCCCCCCCTTCTCCTCCTCTGCTTTCTGGCTTCATTCCCTGTTTTTTCTCTGCTCCCGCCTATCGTCTCACCCCCTGTCTGTGCATGCGCAGCCCCAGCAGAATTCATTCGTCTCCCCTAGTGGTTTTCAGTCCGAAGTCTCTTGCAGCTTGTGTGGTCCTGACTGTACAAGTGCTGAGTAAGCGTGGGATGCAGAATCCGCCCTGCCTTCCCCCTCACCTGGATGCTTGGATGAGAGGCAGCTTTATTTCTGTAACAAATGCACTTGGGCACGGGAGAACCTCACCTTCAAAGAACACCCCACCCTCACTCCCTAGGCCAGGACATTCTCTCTTCTCATCTCCAGCTCCAGAACAGCGCTAAGAAACCTGGGACACCTGTCCCCAGAGGTCCTTTGGAGTCACTGTCACCAAATTTGGAAAAAAAAATTTTAGAACTCGTTATCATATCCCCCCCCCCCCCAGGCTCTCTCCTGCCCCAAACTCGTTCTGCTTGGCCCTAGAGCATAGGGGTGGCGAGTGGAAGTTGCCATGATGCGGATTATTCCTGTGCTATATGAGGCAATTCTAACTGGTCCAAAGTACAAAAAGTAGTCTAGGGAGATGGCAGTCCCAAGAAATCTTCAACAGAATTACTTGTTTAATTTCAAGATGGTTGTTAGATTGGGGATCCTGGGAAGGGATATACCCATTCAGGTAGGAGCTCATAGCCAGCTCCCGAGGTCCCATGTGACTCAGCTGATCAGAAGATATTTGTGGAAAGAGTCTTTGGAGTCTGGAGTTGGAGTCAAGAAACTTAGGTTTGGCCTCAACACTTATTAGCTGTGGGGGCATGGGCAAAATAATTTCCTCTCGTCTTGGTGATGTGTTCTCTTTTTTTTTCTTGTAATTTTTACCTTTTTATTTAAAGTTTTGAGTTCCAAATTCTATCCCTCCTTCTCTCCCTCCCTGAGATTGTAAGCAATCAGATATAGGTTATAGATGTGCAATTTTGTAAAACATTTACATATTAGTCATTTTGTACAAGAAGATGAATAAACAAATGAAAGTGAAAAAAATAATTTCCTCTCTTTGAGTCTAATTTCATCTTTTTAAAAATGAATATACTAATACCTGTCCTGCTCCCTCAAAGGCTGTTGTGAGGAAAGTACTTTGAAAACCTCAAAATTGCTATAGAAATGGAACTACTATTATTTTCATTAAGAACTAACTAAATATGTGTGATTACAAAGATGGAGCTTAGCCCCAGAGCAGTTGAGAAAATGCACCTCCCTTTTCTTTTTGAAGGGGTGGGGGACTCTAGGGGTAGAATATTTCATTTACTCTCTGAAACGGTTTTGTTCAATTTGTTTTTTCTCTTCTTTTTGAAATATTTATGACAAGGAATATCTCTGGAGATAGGCAAAGAAGGAGGGATATATTCAGAAATGAAAGTGATATATACAAACAAAAAGTGCTAATAAAAATAAAATGAAAGAAAAACTAGCTGAATATTTCTATAGAACACACCTGGGAAATCAAGCAAATTTGAAGTCTCTACTAAAGCTCTGGATTCTAACTTCAGCAACACAGATTCCTGGGTGGGTGCAACAGGTGGGCCGGATCTTTGCCTACTTATGAGAGTAAACACAGGAGTGTGACTCACAGCAAACATTCCTGTTAGGACACAGACTTGTGGGTTTGGGCACTGTGAACTCCAGGTTTAGGACCACCGGCCCACACAGTCCGGGAGTCTCAATGAGACCATGACTTAGGTTAAGGTGGTGGGGGTGGGGATGTCAAAGACCTAGCAGCCCCTAAGGTATGTCCTTTGCCCAGCCGGCCAGCCTTCCAGCCAGAGACATTGGACTCTCTGCAGACCATGGCTTGTACTGAGGGCCTGAGGAGTATGAGTGTGGTGTCACCAGCCAGATTTGAATAAGCTGGGGTTTCAGGTCTAACTTTCCTCTAGTATCTGTGGAAGGGAAGGATGCTGCAGCTGTCCTTTCCTATCGTAACATGTCAGCAGCAGCCTGGAAATGGGGAAAGCAGTGATCTAGAGTGAGAAGAACTAACTCTATCCTGGCTCTAGCACTTTCTAACTGCTGACCCTTGGCAAGTTACTTACCCAACCTCTCCAAGTTTGTCTTCTCTGTAAATTGTTGTGTTGTCTGCTTCAGGCCATGGGGTTTTTGGGAGATGGTGTGTATGAAGAGCCTTAGAGTGCTTTGTGATTATGAATTACCTGAATGTTATTATCATCATCTCTGTGCAGATGGCCCTCAGATCTAGATACCCAGCCCTAGTCTCTCTCCTGAGCTCCATTGCCAACTGACCGTTGTATAAACTGGATGCCCCAGAGTCATCTTGAGCTCAACATGCCTGAAAGAGAACTCATTATCTTCTCCCCCAATCCTCAGCTCTTTTTATCTTCCTTATTATTGTTGAGAGAACCACCCGCCTTCAGGTCACCCAGGTTCCAACTTTGGGGTCATCTTTGACCCCTCACCTTCATTCACTCCTTATATATCTAACTGGTTGCCCAATCTTATTGTTCCTACCTCCACAGCATCTCTCAAAGCAATCTCCTTCTCTATATTCACATAGGCAGCGCCCTAGTCAAGGCCCCCATCATTATTTCTCTCCTGGACTATTTCCATACTCCTTCTAACTGATGTCCCTGCCTCTGCTCTGTCCCCACCCCAGTCCATTTGCCATACAGTTGCCAAAGTGATTTTGCTAATGCTTAGGTCTGATCATGTCAAACCCTTCTCCACCCCATCCCACTACTCAAGAGAACAATCAATGGCTTGCTATTATCTCTAGGATCAAATATGAATTCCACAGTCATTTAAAGCTTCACAGCCTGGTTCTTCCTTTATCTCCACTCTTCCTATACATTATTCCCCAACAAAAACTCTAAAAGTCTCATCACACATTCTTCACCAATGGCACTCCATCTTTGGTCTACATGCCCTTGCACTGGCAGTCATCCATACCTGGAATGCTCTTTCTTCTCGCCTCCAGTTCTTAGAATCCCAGGCTTCTTGATGGATTTAGTTTAAATGCAACCTTTGGCAGGAGGCCTTTCCCAGTCCTCTCAGCTGCTAGTGCCTTCGCCTCTCAAGTGACTATTCCCTGTATGTATCTTTTTTTTTTTTTGGTGAGGCATTTGGGGTTAAGTGACTTGTCCAGAGTCACACAGCTAGTAAGTATTATGTGTCTGAGGCAGCATTTGAACTCAGGTCGTCCTGATTCCAGGGCCAGTGCTCTATCCACTGCGCCATCTAGCTGCCCCTCCCTGTATGTATCTTGCATATACCCATATTGTCTTTCCCATTAGAACAGAGATTCTCAACCTGGTGTCTGTGAACCTTTTTTAAAAAAATATTTTGATAACTGTAGTTCGAGATAATTAGTTTCCTTTGTATTCTTTTTTTTTTTTTCCAGTGAGGCAATGGGGTTAAGTGACTTGTCCAGGGTCACACAGCTAGCAAGTGTCAAGTGTCTGAGGTCAGATTTGAACTCAGGTCCTCCTGACTCCAAGGCCAGAGCTCTACTCACTGCGCCCCCTACCGGCCCCATTTGTGTTGTTATGTATTTAAAAATACTTTTCTGAGAAGAGGCCCATAGACTTCACCAGATTGCTAAATGGATCCATGACACCAAACAGATTAAGAAACCCTGTATTAGAGTATAAACAACTTGAGGGCCCATAATAAATGATTTTGATTGATTTTCTCATTATTATTAAAGGTAGGAGGGTTCAGAGAGATTACCTTTGATTGTACAGAGGAGCTCAGGGAGGGGACAAGTTTTATCCACAGAGTCACACAGCAAGTAAATGGTAGAGCCTGAACCAGAACCCAGATCTCCTGGTTCCTACTTCAGGGCTCCTATTGAAAATGAAGTCAGAAGAAACTTCCCAAGCATGTATCTATGGAAAAGGTACACATGGGACCCTGGGTGCTGGGGACAGCAATATTATAACAGCAGCAGCAACTAACATTTACATAGCACTTACTATGTTCCAGGCACTGTGCTAAGTTCTGGGGATACCAGTAAGAAAGAGACAGTCCCTGCTTTCAGGGAGCTTACAATTTAACAGCACCTGATACCCTGGTAACTCAGTCAAAAGGGAGACAGTGTACAGGATAGATGTTAGGAGAATTCTGACAAAAGTACTTTCCTAAACCTCCAAACAGTTCCAAAATTCCAAATACAACTGGTGGCCTGCGTATGACTCCACACAACCATGAGGGCCTGAACCACTAGATGGCAGCAGCTATCCAATAATCATGGTGCACATTTTAGCTCTAAGGAGTTGTAAGGAAATTTAGCGACCACTTACTCCAACCCCTTCAGTCCCAGGGAGGCCAAGGGGATTTATCCAAGATCACAAATTAAATCAATAACAGAACCCAGACAAGGATCATAGATTTAGATCTAGGAGGGACCTCAGAGCTTCTTTATTCTACAGATGAGGAAACTGAGGCACAGGGAAGGAAAATGATTTATTCAAGGTCACCCAAGTAGTAATTAACAGAGCCAGGATTTGAACCTCCCTCCCCCTCCCTTTTTCTACTG